ACATCTGCTATTAAACCATGTTTAATCTAATTTATTCACTTTCTTGGTACTGCCACAAAATGGTCAGCTTAATGGATTAAAATGTTTTAAATGGCAAGTGACATGCCTATTAAAGCCATGTTAACTAGGTTTTAAATTTTAAAAACTAGTTTCGATACCGTTGAATGCTTTACTTAACTAAGATATTTGAATTTAGTGAAATTCCTGTTTCATTTCATTAATCAGGAATATTACACAAACCTCTTTTAATTTGATTTACCTATAAAACATTGGAAAAATTAATTGTTAACCTATTGTTATTTAAATAACTGGTGATAAATATTGTGTAATTATGAAGGTATAAATGTATTTGCCTTAAAAAAATCTCAAGATCTTAAAATGTATTTATTTTCATTACAGAAGTCAACTGCTATACTTCCACTCTTTTCTCTTTTTCATTTTTAAATCTTTGTATAAGTATTCAATTCTTAACAGTGATAATGATCAAAGTACTTATGTAAGTGAACCAAATTTAATTTTTATCAATTTTCAACACTTTGATGCCATAAAAAGGTTTAGCCTCCATCTTCCAAAATCGTTTGCTGTCCCCAAGTAATCTCGCAATTTTTCTCATGCCTGTAACTCATGTCCTTTTTTGCCGCATAATCTTCGGCATCGAAATCGATCGATCGATCGACAGGCAGTCTGTCCTGGCTACCAAGGCTACTTCTACTTCCCCAGACTACCAGACTGCATGTCCATTAGCAAAGACCATTCCAATTTTGTTTTTTAAACATGTCTGGGACATAAGCCAACTGCTTTTCCTTTTTTTTACGTTGAAGGCCTGAGAACAACATGATTTAGCGTTTTGTTTGCAATGGTTATACAATCAGGAGGGACAAAGGAATAAAAGGTAGCTCCGCTAATCAATTGGTCAGCGCGACAGGCTGTCTGGGTCGATTGTGAAACTAAATTGGGAGATTTGGAAATAAACATACAGCTTAAAATGGTTGAATTTACTTTGAAATTTGTAATATGCTTTTAAAGTGAAATCTAATCAAATACCGAATTCACTTAAATCATTTTATTAAAGAACAAAACATTGTAAGCGGTTAGAGAGAACTAGAACAGTAGAACACAAGAAGCTTACTCCATCATCCAGTTTTACTGTAGTCCATCAGATTGTGAGCCAAATCAACTATGTTTTTTCTAGAAGCACGAATGGGCAAGGATATCTTTTGTGGTCTTCCAATGAAATTCTCCACCTAGGCACACATGTCCCAAGACCAAAAACCGAAACCATATGAGTTTCTGTTTATCTGCTATCTGGCCTATCAATCGGTGTGTCATAACTGCATTTGGTTTTGTCAGCAACCGTACGGTTCTTTTATCAATTTGCTGCAAATCTGGGCTTTGTTTGGGCTGTGTCTCTAAAAAGGATTCGCAAGGATTAAACGCACTCAGGCCCGATGATGGCAATCTCATTTGTTTGCGACAATTGTTCGGCCATCGATGGATCGATGCTGATTCCAATGCTGCTTCGATCGTTTCGGGTTAAATCTGTTTGCCTTGTGGCCTATGAAATTGTATCCGATGTTTATCTACATGGAGCGGCAATTCGCACGGAGAGGGAAACTGCGAAGGGGGAAAGGGAAAAGGGCTTCTTTGAGAAGTCCCAAGCGGTTGCCAAACACGACCGAAAATTTGAATGATTTTCCTCGGGCTTTCTGCTTTTTGATTAACATTAATGAGCGACAAAAAGTGCAAAAATTTACATGGCAACGGCTTCTTTGGCCCCATTGTTGTGCGGGTCTTTAGAAAATGTTCCATTCAGCGTAACAGGAGCTTGTCAGGAGTGTGTGGAAGCCTCATCCACCTCGGCAACCTATCCAACCCCAACAATTGCGATTTAGGCATTAGGGCTCCATTGAAATCTGTTTTCGTTGCGATTGTTGGACTTCATTCTGCACGTTTGCTGCTCCAAGAAGATGGGCTCAAAAAGACGGAAAATCCCCCCATCGGGCTGTTCATCACATTATTCTGCATCTAAGTTGCAGTCGGTGCATTGTCAGCGCTTTTTGTCTAACTACTCATTAACATTTATTTGCAAGTGCGGAGAATGCGATGGCAAATGCAAAAGCAACTGCCATGATAAATATGACAAACAGACAATGCCCAGATAGACAAACAGAAAACAGAAACACACAAAGGCGAAAATGCACTGGGAAAAAAGTGGGTAAGGTGGTGGGATGCAATGGAGAATGGTTGAAAAGGTGAGAGAAAATTGGGGATCCTAAAGTACACTTACAGTATGGGATATGCTGACCACTAGATGGATCACAACTTTTGAAAGTTAAAAATTTCACTTGTTGAAAATGTCAAAATAATTGACCTAATAAAAAAGTAGGAAATATACACTTCAATAACTAGAATTTTTCTAAGCATTCCCTAGAAGTCTAATCTTAAAGGACTAGCTTTATTGTCGAATAAGTCACCACTTTAAGTTCTAGAATTGATTCATTGTACACAGAAACAAAGACTAAAAATCGCTTTGCCCACAGTAGTCTGTAAAAAACTGTAATGTCATCTTTAAACATTTTTGAATTAGTTTGCAACATTTATAATAAATCTACGTATTATCTTTCCCCCTTTTTCTTAAGTGATATTCAATCTTTACAGATTTATGATTCTCCATGGAGAGGTGTATGATTTTTAAACGTATATTATAAAATACTTTAAGGAATCGCACTACCGTATATAATTAACTTTAACTCAAACTTCCAACAAACCCCTTGGCATAGCAACTAAAGCCATTTTAGGCATTCAGGTGAGTGCAGTGTATAATTACAATGGCTGACTAACAGAGGGAGACAGACACAGCGAAAGAGAAGGAGACATTGCCAAAGACAATGGACACAGGCAAGTACATAGAGTGCGAGAGGGAGAGGACTAGAACGAGAGGCAAGAAGCAGGTCCAAATAAATGGAACAGTTGCAGGTCCATCCATCCATCTCTCCCTTCGTCACTCGCTCAGTTCGTCAAGTTGGGGCTGGAAAAATGTGCGCCATTGTTAGCAACTTGCAATTGTTAAACTGACAATTGGCAAAAAGACAGCAAGTACCCCCGACTTTCCTCACTGTTTATCAGACTTTTTCTCCATCTGTTCTCCCATGTAGGAAAAGCTTAGGTCATTAGAGTCAAATTAAATTAGAGTGTTAGAAGGTAGCTTCGTCGTATACTATGTACGTGTTCCGTTTGCATTTGTCATTAGTTCGTTGTTAATTAAAATGAAGCCCAAGTGCCAGACGACAGAACTCGACTCGCCAGACTGAATGGAAATCAAAATGCGCTAAAAACCGCCCTGAAACAATGCCAACACCTGCGTAATGCCCCTCGCCCACCCAAAACCCTTCATTCAAAAAGCCCTGAAACAAAGCCCGGCCAAATGCGAGTGGGTATACGGCTACGGTGTTTGGAGTACGGACTCCGGACTCCGGAGTTTCGAAACGTTGTCCTGGCAACACCACCAACACCAAAGCAAATTAACAAAACAATAATGTAGACATGAAAAATGCAATGGCAGGTACTTTGCAGGACTATATACTGCTAACAGTGACATAAGGTGGATGGAATCCTGAATAGATTTGTTTAGCCAGTTAAGAAAAATAACACTTATAGGAACGCTTTTTCAATGGGGTCATAAAATATACCAATTGCTCTTTTGTTACCATCGATTGCAAATCCTAATTGGATTTGTGCTAAATAATAAAGTTCAGTCTATAATAATAATACAAAATAATATTCATGACGCTTCTATCAGATTTATGTAGGTTGCCTTTAATTAAGAAAACCTATTTCTGAATAAATTATGAAAGATATTTGGAAGCTTCCGAAATTTGTTATACTTTAAAATCAAATATTTATAAACAAATAGATTTTACGAAAAAAATTGTTCATATTCTTTCATTTAATTTGAAAATGTTTTCTGCAGATTTTATGTAGTCATGATAGCAAAATATCCTTAAAGCCTACGACTTCTTGTTAAAACATCAGATCCCAAAATGTGTTTACGTAAGCTTATATCCCATTTTGCTTAATGCCCACCTTGGCCAACATATCCACCATTTTGAGCCTAGAAATTAGCCTAAGGCGAAAGGCAGTTGCGGGCAAGACGTCAGTCTCAGATCTCCACTGTTCAGATCGATTCAAAAATAAATGTCCATTAAGATTAGTTGATTTTGCTTTCGATAGTTTGTTTTTTTTACTCTTTTTTTGGTGCAATGCTCTCAGCTGGTCTCTAAGCAAATGCGGTAAATAAACGACAAACACCCGAAAAGCTCACTCCCAATGGTGGGATCTCCTCCCAATAAGTTCCCCCTCTAGTGCGCCCCCCTGTTCCACTTGGCATTTCATGTAACATGAAACCTTCCCCAACCAGAAGCATTCCAATTGGAAACGCCCATCATGGGACTCGTTGTTTAGAGCGAAATGGCAATAGTGGCCAGAAGCTATTCGGGTTGTCTCGCTTGCACGCCCACGCATCACCTGCTCGTGTTTACTGCCCTCCCTCTGGATTGTCCATCTCTTTCTGACTGACTTTCTTTGTCTCTCTTGCTCATAGTGGCTCGGTTTTTTGCCTTTTTTACCATATCCAAAACGAAATGTCACCTGGCTGTTATGCCTCTCTCTCACTAATACTAAGCCCTTTTGGCTCTCACTTTTGGGCTTGTTATGGATGTAGTTTCTTTATAAACAGGCTTTATAAAAAACATTTAACAAACCAATAAGAAAGAAAGCTCCCGGAAAAAAGTTTCAGGCAGAGCAAGCGAGAGAACACAAGCTTTTGCAGAGAGGATTAGGTGTGTTTGTGTGTGGAGCGAAATTGTTACATAGCAGCTGTCTCACCGCCCCACCTGCCACGCCCCCCGCCTTCTTTTGGTATGGTGGAAGAAAGGGCTGGGGGGATAAGACTCGTTTTTTGGCTCGTGTATGTTTTTGAAGAGAGCGCGCGCCAAGTTTTTAGTTACGCGTCGGAACGGATCCGTTGAATAGCCGCCAAAGCGCGCTTAGATGCAGCAACAGCCAACTTGGCCAAGAAGAGCCGATCAGCCAACAGCTAGCGACGGTTTTATCCCCCTCACAAGAAACGGCAAAACTAACAGATAACCGCAAAAATTACAACAACAAAAAACTCAAAAAGGTATTGCACAAAAAACGTAAACAAACTTTTCTCGGGCAATACTGATAAAGAGTAAAAGTGGAACAAATAAAAACTTTTTACAACATAAAAATAAAAAGCAAACCCAAAACAGTGCTCATTTGATATCAAACTTGATAGCCTTTAAAGTGCTCACACAAAACAAACATAAATACAAATCAAAACAAAGCGTAAGCATTTAAAAAACAAACAAATCTAGAAAAGAATCCCCCATAAAGTTTGAAAACCTAAGCTACTTATTTCTCTCGTTAAACTTCAAATCAAACAAGGTTCATTCTTTGTTGAATCGAAGAATCGAAAGGTAGTATAAGTATCTTATCAATGAATGGAAACCAAACAACACAAGTCAACATAAACTAGTGATATCCCATTTGTAAAGTGTTCGTCAAACAGATTCGGTTACGAAAATCAGCTCAAGATCATAAAAGTCAACAAATTCAACATTTTATGGCATTTCGAAAAGTGGAATTCATAAGCGACAGCAACAAACTATAAACATATATTATCCCGATGATTTGGTAGTATATTCCGCATATATGCTGCCATCAAATATTTGATTCCAATCGCCGGGAAACGGAAAATTCAAAGGAAATGCAGAACTCTTCGAGGTATGCTTTAAATATTTCGGGACGAATCACATAACATTACTTAGATAAATAGCTTACAATTAAATAATCGTATCAACGCCACATGAATATTAAAGTAAATTAAATAAAATCAAATTTATTTAGGATTGAAATAAGTATATTAGTTTCAACCAAAGAAAAGTGTATTTTACTTTAAGATATTTTCAAAATTAATTTGTGTCTTAAAACTTAAATTTATCGGAGTGTAAATAGTATTTTAAAATAATGTAGAAAATCAATTTAAAAGCTTCAACCTTTGAATCCAATTTATTGCCGCTCAGAACGCAATTTGAACAACTTTTCTTGACCAACAATTAGGTAAACATGGAGAGAGCTCCACAAAATGAGTCTGAGTGCCCAAGATACAAGAAGAATCAACAGATTTTATTGTTTGGATAATTTCAGGATTTTCCTCTTTTCAAATTCTGCCAAATCATTGTCGGAATCTTTATGCCCCTACTCGAGGTGTGTTTACTTTTGCTTTCGATCTTCCACTTGAATTAAAGCGAGCTCTTTTTCTTTCCCCGTGAGCCATTCAAAGTTGTTTGGTTAACTTAATTTCGAACTATAAATGAAAACCGCCTCAAGGAATGTGAAAAGCTGCTATAAGAAAAGAGAAGTCAGAAACCCCGGAGAATTTGAAATGACGCAATTAGAGCAAATAAAAGTAGCAGAAATAGAGAAAAACAAAGTATGTTTATAAATATTTGCACAAAATTTGTGACAACAATTGGAATTGAATGCGACGTGCCTCCTTCACATAGAAATCGACTTTGGACCAGCACACACAAAAACACAATTGTGCAAACAGAGTTTTGTGAAATTTTTTTGCGAACCACATGTCAATCAAATATTTTTACGCTATTGTTTTGGCCATAGTATTTGCTTAATAAATTTGCTAAAAAATGTAAAAAAAAAAAGAATTTGGCAAGAATTCTAATTAATATTCAGTTGTATCAGGCAGCATCTGTATCTGTGGCTAACTTTGTATCTTTTCTTTTCCATTGCCCTTGGCACGAACTTGACACTAAACCTTGCAGAGGGGATTCGGGGGAAATCGAGATACTCTCGTACGTTTACGAGGCGATTGTTGCGAGTGTGAAAGTTCTTAATTACAAACATTAGGGGGCCCAGCGGCTTAGGGCCCTGAGAAGATCCGAGCCCAGCGGGCGGCCAATACGACACTTTTGAATGGAGGCTCTGGAGTCTCTGCACTGAGAACCCTGGACATCTGCGATACATTTCAACACAAAGTGGAGACACTTAAAGCTCTACCTGTATTGAGACCCCGGCAGGAATACTGTGGACTGAAGACTGTAGACTGCAGACCGCCAGACGGCCAGACTCCTCTCCACTGCGAGAAGAATCTGACTGGGGGGAGATCTCGAGCTCAGCATGTGGCTAAGCCGATCATAATTCTTGTTTGACACACCAACAAACGGATGAACAAATGAACGAGAAGCAGCAACAACAAGGCCAAAGCCTTAACCGGGGGTTAAGAGAGTGGGGGTCCGGTTGGCCCCCGAAACTCAAGTGGCCAGCGGGTTAATTTTACTCCTACTGAGATAAGAAAACAGAAGAACAGCTCAGCAGCCGATTTGCATGAGAAAGATGCGGACATAAAGTATCTGGTGGGTTATCTATTAGGGCTACTAGATTAACACCCTGAGAATACCCACGCTTTCTGGTTTAACGGTTACATTTCCGTTACAAATAAATATCGGGGGAAACATTTAATCGGTATGTATATGAAGGAGCGAATCAAAAGGAGGAGCTGCCATATTCACAGCAAATAAAAATATCTGGAGTGCAATTTGTGCACAGCTGGTGGTGCAACCGTCGAATCGGAAGGTGGCCCTGCGGTGCAACAGAAACTGCAACTGCCACACTGCACCACATTAAGAAAAAATGCCAGCTCTACATTGTCATTTTAGATTTTATTAAAACTTTTACTACTTCCATGGTCTCAATGTTGTCAAGTAGGCACAAAACAATACATAAACAATAATAACAATGTCATGAAATTAGCCATAATTAACCATAACTCCTTCGAAACACAGCAGAAATTTAGCTAACCAATTTATTAGTAGGCTTTCGGCAGTAAACACAGGTGTCCCAATTTTGAAAAAAGATTTTAAAACCACTCGAAGACTTTGAAAACTATGAAAAAGAATTTAATGGCAAGCCTTTAAGGCATAATTTTGTATAATATTGAACGAATAATTTTTTCCTGTGCACCAACTGCAAACTCAAAGTGAAAAGAGGAGCAAAAATAAGTAAGGCAACTTGACAACACAGAAATTTGTTTGCACTCCATAAGGATTACAAATATGCGTGTCCCTGGACTCCCCGCACTCGACTCCTCTTTTTCTTTTAAAATAAATTTCATGCTTAATACGCATGCCTTGGCAATTTTTACTTTAACACCAAGTGGTAATGCCCGGAAGCAGTGCAGATGTCGCCTCGCATAGCCCAACGCCAACAAGTTATTGACCACGATGTGCTGCATGGCCAGGAATGACAGTGAACAGGGCCAAAAAATGGAGAAACTGCGGAGTATGGCAGCAGGGAAAAAACAGTTGAATTGGACAGATAAAGATGAATGGCATAACCCAGGGTTGGTCAGTCAATAATACCAGCGGTAGCCAGCAAAATTTTGGCTATAAATACGATGCAAAAAACTTACTAAAATATAATTTTCTTATTTACTTATAAATTATAACATGATAACTAATAATTGATTTCTTTTTGCAAAAGCCTAAGCCTATTTTTGATTACATCTGCGTTAAATAATACACAATATTAGCCAAGGTCAATAACAGTCTTTTAAATATATATATATTTAAAATAATATAATCTTAAAATGCTGAATTTATTTGAATAAAAGGACAAAGCTATTTGTAAAACAGATGAATTTATTATAATGTCAAGAAATATGTCAATGGTTTTATTTGCTTTGTTAAACGCAGCAATTAAAAATCTTGCATATCAAGTAAATGCTATAAAATTGTTTATTTGAGTTTATTGTTTCCCAAAGCTGGTTATTAATTTCGTCGTTTATGTTAGTTCCATTTTTATAATAAATACAATAAATAAACTTTTTAATTTCCATTTGGAAATTCATTTAACTGATTAGCCATGAATATAAAAAGAACCAAAGCAAAGGCTTCACCGCACCCACTCGACTCTAATTAGCTGACTACCCACACAAAAATAATTATAATATTAATTATTCTTGTTTTCGCTCGCCGACAACTCGCAGACGTTTGCCCTTCCCTCCCCCTGTGACCACTTGCCCAATGGGGCATTGTTAATCAATTAACTAATTGATTCGAGCTCTTAAAAGTATGTCGTCTGAGGCCCATTCTTCGGGGACAAAAAAAAAACAATGCCAAGTGGAGTCGTGGACTTCTGGTCCTGGCCCAAAAGCCACTTGCGGGCCGCGCTGGCGGTTGCCACCTCAACTCGACCGGAATTGGACTCGAATAACCTTCCCACTCCCCGCCTCCATTGGGCCCATTGTGTGGGCCAAATGTCAACCCTTAAAATGAGACGACTACGACGACGTCGTCCATCCTTTCCATTATGCGACGGAGCACTTGAAACCCATTTCTTTCCCATTTTACATTTTTGTGTACTTTATTTTGCACCCAAGCCGCTTGTTTTGGACACGCTGGAATGGGCTGGTCATGTGGCGGTTGATAGGCTTCAATTCTGGGTCTTTCAATACCACATGTGCGTGCATTATAAGCGGGATTTACGTGGTCCACTTGATGCCCCAGCACCGAATCCTTCCGCAACGTGTTAAATACGGCGAGGCATTCAGGGGCAGGGAAAAGGGTCAAGAAGCCAGCGTCCGGCTAAACGCTTTCAATTTGTTTAATGGTCCCTTTCGGATTGGAATTGGGACTGGGATTTTTCCTCGCCCTTCTGAGCAGGATCTCGAGGACAATCGAGTGCAGGCGTGCCGGGGACATATGCCCGAAATGAGTGCGATTCCTCGCCCTACATGCACATATATGTATGGCATTATCCTCAACAAATGTGTCATCTGCAGTGGATATTTGCATGGATTGGACTGCGGTCTGAACTAGAGGAGCTTAGCTGCCCATTTTTGGCCAGCTTAGCTTCCAAGCCATTAGGTTAGTCAGATGCTCAGTAAAATTTTAAAAAATGTCACGAAAGGTGTGAGACATGTGAATTTAAATGGTAAAAGACTTAGCACAAGTTCGTATGTTATTGATAGTTATATTTGATTAACATTGTTTTTAAGATCAGTCCTCAAAAGACTGTTATGGCAGTATATATATAATCATATTTATAAAAATTTGATAAAACTTATATTTATATTTAGAAAAAGGGGGTTTTTTAACAGCCGAAAAGCGTGCATTCTTAAGGATTTTTGTAAAAGACTTGATATTTTGTTCAGTTGTAGTTTATTGAATTAGTTAGAAAAGTCTTTTTCGCTCTGTAAGAGCTCACATAACCCTGTTTAACATACTTCTTTTTATGGTCCCTCTCATGTCCCATTTTTTTTAACAAATTGTTGTGTAAAATGTAAAATATTTTGTAATATTTCTGGTCCGGCCTTAAGATATATTATATTAATATTTATTTTATTCGGTTTGCCTGTGATTCAAGTTGTAGAATTAATATCATAAACTAAATATCTCAATAATGTGAAATTTCTCCCATAGCTCGACGCATCTTAAACTTCGCACCACCACCAGTTCTAGCACCACTAGTTCCAGCACCACACAGTCCGCCCGCCGGCTCGAGGGCCACAGATTGAGGCACCGAGGAAGCCCGGCTCCGTCTGCGATATGATGGAACGTCTGTCCACGCACCTGTCGCTCACCGGCCTCTCGCTCGCTCATCCCCTGCAGACTCACCTGGGCTCCGGTGGCGGATCGCACCACCTGGGCCAGTTGGCGGCGGCAGTGCACCATCAGCAGCAACAGCAGCAGCAGCAGCAGTCCGACCAGGGTCTGGGCCACTCGCACCACCTGCACGGCCAGCAGTTGTCGCTGAGCCACCAGCACCACCACCCCCACCAGTCTCCGCAACATCAGCAGCAGCATCAGCACCACCCGTGCAGCAGCAACAGCAGCAACGGATCCCCGAACGGCTCCTCGGGACTGGGCCTGCATCCCCACTCGGCGCTCCATCTGGCGCACCACCACTCGCAGCTCCACCAGCACCACTCGGCGGGTCAGCAGCAGCAGCAGAGCCAGCCGGCGGTGTCCTCATCCTCGGGCTCCCATCACAGCCAGTCGCAGTCGTTGAGCCACCAGCCCCACAGCAACGGCAGCTCACAACTGGGATCCGGGTCTGGCGGTGCTTCGGCCAGTGGTTCGGTGGCAGGCGGTGCGGCCAACAGCCACCACAGTGCTCCAGCCTCCAGCAGCGTGATGGCCGCCGCAGCAGCCGCCCACCTGCACCACAATTCGCAGGCGTCGCCCATCAGCAATCTGCACCAGAACATGGGCAGCCTCATGAACAGTGGCAGCAGCGCCAGGTAAACACATTCAAATATTTATATTAATTGCCTTTGGTTTTGCCAGACTTTAAATCAAAAATATAAAATTGAGTATTAAAATAGGAAAAACCTTTCTTAATATGAATTATCAAGAAAAGCTAATCTTTTCCTGATGAAATTAAGTCTTTTTGCTATTGCCTTTAAATTTATATTTAAAAACTGAAAACTTACAAAAAAAACATGTTTATTATTAATTATTACTATTAATAATAGCAAAATAGTGGTGTTAAAAAAAATTGTATTTTACTACAAGTAAACGTTCAAGATATTTGTTGCTAAATTATTGACAACAATAAAATCTTATGAATGTGACATCCCAAATAATAACTTGATGGATATCCAATAAACAACTTGTGATACCCAATAAAACACGTGCGGTTTTAAATTAAGTACCGGCAACCCACAAATAAAAATACAATATTGTACGAAAAAATTGGTTACTTACAATTTTTATGAATGAATTTAAAATTTGCTTGTAAAACATTACTTAAGCGAACCCAACATATAGACAGTTAACCAAATTTAAGTCTCAGCAAAAATTACATTTTACATTAATAACCAGAAAATTTAAGTAATTTTTTGATATGTTTATGTTACCAGTGAGGTTGCTGTTCCTTGCTTTTAAATCAGTTTAAATGAATTATGGTTTTTGGTATGTCCATTTTATTCCATTTAACTTTTGAAAACTAACTAAACCATCTTTATTTTTATCCTGCAGCGATGTCTTCTTCAGTCTGATGATCCAGAACACAACGAAGCGCCAGAACGAGGAGCACATAAAACGTCCAATGAATGCGTTCATGGTCTGGTCGCGTCTGCAGCGGCGTAAAATAGCTCAGGATAATCCGAAGATGCACAATTCTGAGATTTCCAAGAGGCTTGGTGAGTTTTTAAAGATGCATCAAAACCCTAAATCATAAGGAAGTGGAAATTAAAGAAGCTCTGTTTAAAGTCGTTATTAAATGAAATTAATTCTGTCATTTAAGTTCATTAAGAACTTAAGAATGTACGTCAAGGAACTTTTTAACGTAGTTTTAAAAGCAATATCTTGGATTTATAAATGGTTTTCTGTAAACAATAAATCTATTGTTATATATTGCATTGCTAGATCTATTTCGTTTTGGTTTCCCAGATTGCTGTCTTGAAGTAGAGTGCCACCAACATTGTTGAAGAGAACCCAGGCATCCATGAGTGACTCAATTGCCTCCTTCAAAGCTGTTATTTCCAGAACAAACAAACTATTTAAGTCCCCAGTTAAGCTCACTTCAGTTTCTCTTTTTGTGCGTTTTGTGTAACACAAGCCACGAAGTTTCGGTTATCTGGTGGCAACGTTTCTTTCAAAATGTGTATAATCTGCGCACAATGGATGGGGCACATACAAAACGAAATTAAAATGCGGCACACGACCTGCCAATCTCTCGCACCCACTCACTCCTCCTCTATCTCCATTTCTATCTCTATCCCTGTCTCTATACATCGCTCGCTTATGCAAGTTAAACTAATCAACGTAATACCCTACTGTACAATGGCAATGACAAACCAAAAACACCCGCCACTCAACGCGACTGTCAAAAGTGACAAGCGGCTGTCAAACAATGAGCGGAAGAGCACGAAAAGCGGCGCAGGAAGCTGTTGATTACGCCCGATGAAGAAGAAGGGGTTCGGTCTTGGGATCGACCTTGCACCCCCCGCCCAGACCACCCACCCGATTAAGTTTGATTCGCCAAATCACGGCCGGCAGTTGGCCGGCTTTGTCTCTCACCCGCTTAACTAGTTGCAAAGTTAAGTAGTTTATTTTTCGGAGGGCTCAGAGCGTCGTCGGATAATCCCACGCAAGTCTTATCGAGTCTTTATGTCTCGGGTCTTTTGGGCTTGCTGTTTTCGAGCCAGCTCACTGAAAGAAAAGCTTTATAAGTTTATAAGAAAAAAATCCAATATAGTTTACAAGAAACTTTCGAATTATAGAATACACTATATGGGGCAAATAAAATTATTCACTTTTATAATAAGAACAATATTTTAAAATATTTAAAAAAAAAATTAATTACAAACTAATTTTAAAAATTTTGAATTAAAAGTGTCATCAACTGCAGTATATTGAAAAGGCAATTTTTTGGAATTATTAACACTCTTAATTTTCCTTGAAGAACTTAATCAATAATAAATATAAAACAAGTTTGCTCTGAAGAATGTTATTACTGAGCTCAAGTGCTTTTATCGATCAAGCCACTCCTTAAAATACAACATTTTCTCTAACTGCATTCGGCGCAGTAAATTCAATTTTCATCCAACTTGCAGACACTCGACACGTGTCAGCTGACAGGCAAGTTCTTTAGCATAACAATGCCAGTTCTTAGGACTACCTTTTTTCGATCAGCTCATGCATTTTGGATGAGAGTCCTATATAGATTGGGGAGGACTAATCAGTGGCTGCTGTCATAACAGTGATAACAACAAATCGAAATCAAAACCAAAAGACAGACTCATCTTGGCCATTATCGATCTGAACTTTTCGAGAATTTTGCCAGCATTTTGTGCAATTTTTTAATAAAACTCTACGGGGTTTCCCCAGGGTGAGCAGCATTCCACACAGAACTCCCCAGTCAAGCACTCGTTAAATGACTTTTTCTTGCATTTTTATTTAGCCATTGTTTGGACCGAAACAAAGGCAAATTAAATGCGACTCACTTGCCATCCAGTTGAGCGAACCAAAGAGCAACAACAGGGAAACTCGCTGCATCTGAAGGATGCGAACAAAAAGGGGTTTGCTTTTGGGGGGAGTTTTTCCCCCATCCACCTTGAGAACCCCTTTCTCCTTGAAAGCCGTCCCGTATTGTACTTCCATTTGGCGTTCTTCTCCAATGCCAAGAGTTCAAGTAAACATATCGATGGGAGCCAGCAAACTTAAATACAATTTAGAAGCAAACTTGAAATTCGAATTATTTTCTTTCGATTTTTTTCTTTTCCGTTGTTGTTGCTGATATTGTTGAGCTGAAAGCTTTTGTTCGCCTTTCACATTTTCCTTTTTAGTCCGCTTTTTGGCAAATCCATTATGCGAATTGACAGCTCCTCTCGCTCGTCTTCTCTCTTTCAGTAATATTTGCTGTCAGTTGCAGTCATTGTTAAGTTTGTTTAGAGTGGGTGGAAAACCGTGGGGAGGTGGAGCTCGAAAAATTCGATTGGGGCAAAGGTGGAACTAGGACAGAGTGGGAAAAGACTGAATTGGCAGCCACCAGGTTGAAAAAAGGTATGACCGGCAGTGCAAAGATTGTCCTTTACAAGCCATGTATTTAACTTTTTTGGTTTTCCCTCTCAAGAATTAGGAAAAGTTATATTTTATTGAAAAGGCTTAATGGCTATACCACAAAATGTGTGTACATTTTTAGGAGCACAAGTAAATAAATATCTTTAAGTGCCTTAATTACTTTAATAATTCCTTTAATACAAAAGAATTAAGACATAAAACTCTTAAAATTACAATTATTTTCTAATGGGCTCTTTAAAAAGACATATAAAATCACAGATCAAAATCTCCTTAGGGTTTATTTTTTTTTTACTTTAATCCGCAACAGCTTTCTCTCTACTTATCACTTCCTCTATGCCATTAATAATCTTGAGGACAATTTTCAAAACTTTCATTACACCACAATAGCAAACAAAACCAATTTATTTAAATAAACAATGCAAACAAAATGGAAATGAAAAAAAAGAACAGGGTGCATAAAAGAGGAAAGGCAAACATTTGCCACATTTACACAAAATGTCAAAGTTTTTTGCACTTGAAAAAGTTAGGCCAACATTCAATTAAATGAATAATTCAACAACGACAAAGGCCACGCTCATTATGAGGAATTGCCAAACAGAAAAAGCACAAAAAGCCACAAGATGATGGCTGTGCTGTGCTGTGGAAGAGGAAATGGAGGAAAAATAACTGTGGCATAAACAAAGGCGCCACAAAAAATGGCGGCGCGAAAGCTACTTTTTCACCACAGTGCGATAGAGATGGCCTGAGTGCGGCAGAGACAGAGAGAGAGACGGGGCGCACGGGTGCGAGCGAGAGGGCCGCATAGACTGGCTACAGTGGAGAGGCTCTTCAGCTTCAGACGCCGTCGCCAGTGGCGTTGCCATTTATTTTATTTTATTCGCCAAACAAAAAACAAAGGCCCACAAAGGCTGCATAAAAATTGTTGTATATATGAGTGGGTAAAATAAAATAAAAGTGAATGTTATAGAAAACAATTCAGTGCTGGGCGCGGGCTTAATTGAAATTGTAACTGTCATTAATTACTGTCTGGAAATTTGAATTACCAACAGCAGCAGCAGCGGCAGCAGTGGCAGCAGCAGCAACAAACAATAGGCGACAACAACAATAATGCTCATGCTTTTCGAAAAGTCTTTTCTGCCGTGTTTTGTATTTTGCAAATAATTGAAAAACCTGTCGAATCGGCAATGTTCTTTATTTTTAATCAAAGCTGCTGCTGCTCCTGCGGGAATATTTAATAATGCCAGACAAAGCTGGAAAGAGCTGGCTGAATGGGCCGTTAGACCCGGCGGAACAATAGGCCCAAGGAGCAGAATCAGGATAAAAAAAAACCAAAACAATCACAAAAGGTCGAACTCAAGCCTTTTTCCACCCCCTCGATCACCTTTTGTTGCTCAATAAAATGCAAACAATTGATTAGTTTGCAATTGGAAAAAGCTTTCGAAAGGAGTTTACTCGGCTGGGAGGTGGTATGTTATGAGTTGGGAGTGGGTGGTGAGTGGGCGTGAAGGTTACGGGGCAACTTGGATTTGCAAGTGACAGGTGGGCGATGGTGTATGTATGAGTCTTTCACGGGCGGAAACCAAAAACTCTGGGGAACCTCAAGAAATTTTAAACAAAACATTTTAATACCCGACACTCGAAATTTAAAGCGTACCCTGAATCAGTGAAAATTTGATCATGATGTTATAGAAAAGTGTCCTTTGCTTAGGACAAGCAAAAATTTGTAAGCCAAACAAAACTCCTTTAAAGTATGCTACATATTTTAAATAACTCATAATTGGGGCAAAACTAGAGGGGCATTAATATATTTACTCTTAACAATAAACTCTTTACCTCTACGGGTAACAGGCGGAAAACAAAATTTTTTCTTTTAATATCTTTAAATTGTCTTGTCTTTAAAATTTGATGATTACCTTGATGCAAAATATATTTTAAACACAATTAAGAGACACTCTAAACCATGGTATAACTGTTATTGTCTTTAAACGTATGGCCTTTAAGCCTTTTTAAATGGCTAAGTATATATCAGTCAGAAAATTCGACAAACCGTAGTCTTAAATAAGTAATGTTTCATAACTAAATGTATGGCTCGACCTCACTCTTAAATCAGTAGTTGATACGTATTAAACGTTGAGAAATCAGCAAAACATCTACTTCATATCCTAAAATCCTGTGTGTGATGGTGTTTTCATAAAGCTTAACTTAAGACTTCTTCTCACGATTCCACCTAACAAAGGCAGAGCAAATAAGCCAGATTTCGACTGGTCAAGGAGAGGTTGAAGAAAACTCCCAGCGCTCCACATAAAGCCATTAAATTGCTGGGCAAACAAGTTAATCGCTGGCCGCGTTATGAGTGGGCCCCAAAATGAGTGCCCACCAGAACAGAACAGAACAGAACAGAAGCGAAGTAATCCCACAAGTAGCCCGATTGTCCGAGTGAGTGGAAAGTGTAACTGCAGACTCCAACAAAAAAAAAAAAAAAAAAAAACGAGTTCCAACAAAAACTGTTAGCTGCAACTGGTGATGCTGCTGGTGCTGGCCAAATATTTGATCTGTGGGTTAGCCGAACGTGCAACGTTTCCAGGCCGGAAAAACTTGTTAATTGTACCAGAAAGAGTCTCGGAAATATCTCGCAACTGCCAAGTGCCTGACTTGTTTTTCGTATCAATTATTAAGCTGGTCAACCAGCCGGAGAGGAAAGGAGAAAATTCTCGCAGTGCCTGCTGTTTGGCCAAGGGGCGCCAACGACATAGACATCGGGCAAACATAGACATTGTCATTGTCATCCTATTGTGCGTCTAGTTTATTCAACTGCTCAACTTGTAACTGCAAGTTTGCCCCCTTTCCTTTCCCAGTCGATGGACTTGTGTCTTGTTTATTATTATGTCCAGGGCACCTTGCCCCTCCACCTTTCTTGCCACATCCCCATGCGAGCTATTCTCTCGAAGGTGTCGTCCCCAGAAGGAGAGTTGCTCATTTGATGGCCAGTTGGGCCTGGATCTGGGCCCTTGGCCCTTGGCTCTGTCAATGTATCTATAAATTAGTATTTTACCATTATGAGTGGGTGCAAGTGGGAGTGGAAATGAAAATGGAAACGGAAATGGGAGGAGGTGGAGGTGGAGGAGGAGGCTTTTGAGCTTTTGTATTGGCCTTATTGTTATAGTTTTCGTTGCCTGTGTGGGCCTCAGTGCGAGTCTGGCTCTGACACTCGATTCGTTTCCTCCTCGGCCAAAAAGAGACTTCCAGTTGGCCCTGTCATCCTTGTCTGTCACAACAATGCCGCCGGTGTGTGCGACTGCCTTTGTGGCCCAGTGTGTATGTGACATTATTCTGGCTTTGTGTCCGCATGACAAGCCACTAAAATTACACGTTATAACTAATTAGCGACTTGCCCCCCACACACACACACACACAGACTCCAAGCAATTCATCAACTAATTCACTTACAATATGTCAACATTTTCTTGGGCTTTCTTTGGTGATTAGGGAATTACAATTGTTCGCTTTGGTCATAGAAAAAAATATGATATATAAGTATTTTATTTAACATATTTTTTATTTCCTTAATCTACATTTCTAGGATTTTTTATTAGAAAATCTATCATGAAGCTAAGAATAAACCCAATCTTTCCTATCTCGAACCAGTTGAAAGTTTCTTTAAATGAAAACATTTTGGGAATTTCTTGCAGAACAACTCAGAAGATGGTTATAGTTATAACCCAAAGAACATTAGTTTATACCCACAGAAAAATAATAGAATAATAACTAGAAGTTCTTAATATAATCCATATATCTTTAATTATCTATGACAATTGAGATCATAATGTCAACATTTTAATTAATTGGATTGTAATGAGTAAAAAACTTAGTCAACAAAAATAAAATGTATTGCACTTTAGAAAAGTAATTTAAGAAAGGTAAAGAAACAAGATACTGAGTACAGCTTTTCAAAATGTTAAAGCTATTAACATAAAATGCTCATTAAAATCCAGAAAGTCAAACGGGTACAAAATGTTCTTTAATTAATGGCAGCAAAGCTTTGTTAAGAAGTTGACATAATGCATTCTACCGAAACGGTTGAGCTGCGCAGCCAACCGAATTCGGTTTCACCTTTAAGCCAACTCCCCAACTGGATAAAAGGTCCTTATTATTGTCACAACTCCACTACCGCAGAGCCCATCGTCGAATTCTCTCCTTGACGCCACTTCCCCTCTGCAGACGTCATACGACACATGTCATTATAACGTTTTACATTAACTTAAAAACATTTGCAATTTCCAAACACACAATGGACGAACCAGAGTCAGCATGGAAGTCCTTGCTCCCCGAAAGCAACCCCATGTGCCACTTATAGGATGTGTACAATTCGGTATCTGTGTGACACGTGTATCTGTGTGGGAGACACATCCTGGCCAACGCCCTCAAGAAGGATATTCCTGGGACCCCTACCCGAACTGTAAGCCCAAAACCACCTGCTGGGGTTAGGGTTAGCACAGAAGGGGAACCCCGAACAACAGCGGGGCAGAAAGAGACGGATAGTGGGTGAAGAGAGTGAGACAAGAGACAGGAGACAACCACTGACAACGACATTGTTTGCTGTTATCCTTCTTGCACAGACAAGGCGACAAGAAGTTTTTGGGGGATCGAATGAGGTGACCCCGACCCGGCATTATGCTTATGTGCGACAGCTTCTCGTGAGTGCACTCCAGTTGTTGTAGCCAGATTTTGACAAGGGCTCCGAGTGTTCAAATGTATCTAATGGATTAACGACAATTGCTCCGAATTCCAGGTGCCGAGTGGAAGTTGCTCACGGAGGAGGAGAAACGTCCGTTCATCGATGAGGCCAAACGTTTGAGGTGAGTTCGGGATTTGCTGTTTTCCAGGATTATTAACCTAGGGATTATACTTCACAGGGCCATGCACATGAAGGAGCATCCGGACTATAAATACCGACCGCGACGAAAGCCGAAGGCCCTGAGACGCGATGGCTATCCCTATCCAATGCCATATCCATCTGTGCCCGTCGAGGCGTTAAGAGCGGGTGAGTCTTTAACTTAATGTTATAGAGTTCTTAATGCAAAAATGTAAGAGTAACTTTAAATTTGCTCACTTACTTAAATTTTTATTTTAAAAACTTTTACACTTTCTAAACTTTACTAATTTAAATTTAAATTTATTTATTTAAGAAGTGTTTTGAGATTTATTTGTATTTCTATGATAACAATTTTTTAATTAATTAGCTTGTCATTAGTACAAAATATTTAAATTAAGTCAAGCTAGTTTAACAATATTTGGAAAAAATCCAAATCATTTCCATATCATATACAAGCACAAGAATATCTTTAAGAAACCCTATTTCATAGTTGAATAAGTCCACGAAATTAAGCCAAAAGTAAAATTCCCCATTAAAACCCTTGAAACCACTAAAGCAAAGCACTAGGAAAAATAGTAATTTAGTTTTATAGAAACTGGCGGCAGAAGCTCAAGACAAATGCAAATTTGACACGAATAACGAGGATTTGGGGGTATGAGGTTGACGGTTGACGGTTACCAACAGCCTATGCCAAAACTATCCTCCACTCGAGTCCTGCAATCTTTTATAGCCGCAATATGGCACCACCCATCTGGCTGACAAACTGTGAAGTCATCATCCTGGCTTAGCAACTCATTCGAGTGACAGGAGAGGATCGGGGGAACGAAAGCCAGCCAGACAGACAGACAGACATACAGACGTGGAAGAGCCATCAGACATGAGCCACAGGCAGGAGCATAAGTTTCCATTCATGATTTTCTATGGTCATGAAAGCGGGAGTGGAAGTGGGTGGTTGTATGTAGTTTTTGCCGCTGGTTGGAGGTTTTAAATTAGCATTTGTCACGTTTTTTGTCTTTCACCCCGAACGGTTGTTATCCCGGTCGTGAGCCTGGGCCCTCAATTTAACGCAAGTTTTCTCGGCTTAAGTTAGTCCCCATGTCCTTCTTCTTCATGTGGAATTCCCATTCCCTTCACGGACCTGCATGATTTATGCCCAGCGGAAATGATAATAAAAATGCTAGGAAATGCGTAATAAATAAACCGAATTAGTCTATTTAGTGGCTCGTGGCTTCCCCATCAGTGCACTCTGTGAAAAGAAGGGATTTTGGATTTTGGCAGAAAGTGCAGCCAACTGTGGAATTACTTAAGCATGGGTATATGACAAAGATTTAATAGAGAATTTCGGTAAATGATTAATGAAAGCTGTTTTTGAAATATATTAAAATGATTTTAAATTGTAAAATTTAAAAATAAACATAAATATTCTCATAAAATGGGACTGACTCCACTTGAAATATTGCTCAAAAATTTCCAAACTGGGCTTCCGTTTGTTTACTGCAACCGGTCATTACAAAAAGTTGCCCAACAATGGATCAACTACCTAATCCGCTATTATCATAATAACAATGATGAAGGCATCCGAAACCGTCGCTACTTGAAATCGCCAAAGAGTTGAAGAGAAAGAAATCTTTCAGATAAATACATTGTATTTAGCTGGTTGATGGAAACTTTGTTGTCTAAGCGAATTTAATTGCTCGGTGGCAGATCCCAATACGGTTGGACTCTCAATCAAATCCATAGCGCCATCAATGAAATAAATGCCGAAGTCTTTCAATAAGCGGCGCCTGTAATTATCAACTTGGCCATAAAAGGCCAGAAGAGCAGATGGACGACTACCGTTTAGGGCAATTGATAATGGCTTGCAGGCATCTACCAGATCCGTAGATACTCTCTCTTCGCATCTGACGCACTCGTTTCCAAATAAAATAGCTGATTCAGCGCCCAATTAAATGGCGATGGCGACCCCGAAAAAAAGTTGTTATTTAAACGAAATGAAAGAGTTGGCCGAACAAAGAACGCAAATATTTCGAGTGGCAATTATTTTAAACACACACCAAGGCAACTTTAAACTGAGCCGAAACGAAGCTGCGTTTGGAGTCATAAGATGGACAGTGGTTGAAGTTTGCTCTCGGAGCTATAGTCAAATATGATATATATATATATATTTAGCAGTTGGGTAAACTTTTCACTACCCAGTAGAAGTAAGTTAATTTTATTTTTAAAAAATGTTAAGCCAATTTAAAATGCATAAATAAATTTGAGGAAAAATATATTTTAATAAACGGCTGCCAAAAACATGTTTCTTTTTATGGAAAGGATTTTGTTTTGCGTATAGGAAACATAGGATTTGGTTAAATAAATTGAAAAGGCAATGTTCTTTAATTTATTTGAAACAAAGTTTAAACAGCAAAAATATAGAAATAGAGAACGATTTGTATAAATCGATCAGAACTACAAATTTTAATATATATATTTTTTAAATTACAAGATAAGTAAGTTTTATATGCTTAGTTTAATGAAAATTAATGACTTACCCTTGATGCTTACATTTTGTTATGAAACTGATTTTAAATAACGAATAAATTAAATTGCTTATGTATTCATTATTTATTAAACTTGTTATCATGTTTCGTAACCGAGTGCCCCACTGTGCCTGCATCCCGGTGATAATTGTTGTAAACTCTTCTTCCTTAACCCCACTGAAAACAGAAAACTGAACTCATCTCCCGTTGTTGTTCGCTTCACTTGCAGGCATTACGCCCGGTTACTTTGCGCCCGGTCCCACAGCGGCTGCCTATCACCTGGGCAGCCATCTCGGCCAGACATCGACGCCGACCACGACGCAGGTGAGTCTCGCTTCCCAGTGGCCTTTACACCTTTCCACCTTGCCCTTTCCATCTTGCACCTTCCACCATGCTCCCTGCCCCACGAGGCTCAAGTGCCACCATGTCCATCAAAAGGGCTGAACGGTAGCGGAGACCAATTACAGACATATATAGTATATATGGTGTGCACTTGGGCGGAGGTTACTGCAGGGCAGCCTTAATAACATAATTACAAACTCCTACGGAAGACGCCCACTTTAAAAGGCGGAAAACATGCCGTCCATTGCACAGAGAAAAACTAAGATATTTTAGGATCCCGAATATATGCTTAGGTCTATATGAAAACCGAATTATTTTTAAAATGCTTTGGAAAACATATATCCGTATATAGATAGACAGTAAAAAATTTGAAGCAATAACAGCTATTTACTCTCATAATAGATTATATATATTATTATATTAACTATATCGATTTCCACATTACGGTTTTTATTTGCTCAAATTTAAGAGACGAATATATTTAAAATTTTATAAAAGATTTTTTTCCGTGTCCCCGTGACTAAGCAGGCGATAAAGCGGCAGATCCTGGCCCAATTGAGTTTTCTGACATGTCATGCCAAAGGATTTGGCCGGCAAGTTGTCATTACATGTTTAGCGGTTCCGAGGAGTGGGGGTTCCCCTTTTTTTCGGCCAGATCGAGTTGATAAACAAGGGCAGGCGGACACACAGAAACAAATAAACAAACAGGGACGGACAGGTGGGATGGCTGATCGGCAAACGAAATGTCCTCAAAGTGGAACAGCTGCCCCGGGGAAAGCTGCAAGGATTGCCGAGAATGGCCAAGAAATAGCCAAAGTTCCGAACCTTTGTGCCTCCATCAGGTGGTCAGCTACCCATGCCCAACCTCAATTGATTAACAAAGCCCATTAAAAGCCGTGACTCTCGTTTCCCGACCATTGTCCATTCTGTTCAGGGGCACGTAATTCTCTGGACGATGCCTATTCCACTCCGTGATTGATGTGGCGTTGCAGATGCGATGCGGGTGTTGAAGGCCTGGCATTAACATTCGCCTGATAATAACACACCTCGCTCCTCGGCCGTAATAATAGACTAAGTTTAAGCCAAACAACATCTCGATTGAGTGATGGAATGAAGGAGCGTTGGGGCCTACAAGAAAATTGCATAGTGGGCGGCATCCAAAATCTCTGACACGGCAAATTGCTGACAGCATTCCTGGGCATATTTGTTAGAGACTTTTTCCATGGGGTTTTGATGTTCTAGCTTTCACAGCTGACTTCTTAGATTGAACACTGGTAATTCTCTATTATTATTTATACAAATTATAATTATAAAAACGGAAGAGAAGGCTTTATACTACAAAACAACTGAATAACTCTAGAAAAACCATAATATGGCAGTTTGATTTCGTATATTCCCACAGAACACGAGAAATGTTCATCAAAAAATATTCTTTATAAAGAGAATTATTTGGTCAATAGTTAAACATTTTTTACATGAGGCTCTATAGGTTTTCCAATTAATTGAGCACATGCACGACTCTCCTTAAAAACAAATTGTTGACACAGCTGCCGTAGAATCCTTGACTAAACCCTGTACTGTCATCCTCCTACACCTGCTCTTAAAAAAAACATGGTTGCATAACCCACTCAGCCAACAAGGGGTTTAGAATCAATTAACTGCCACACGGATAAGTAACCGGAACCGAATGAACCAAACCAGACCAAACCAAACCAAACGAAACAAGACAAACAAAATATCCACTCGCTAATGCGATGGATCAAAATATTTACGAATCCACACTAATTCCCAATTGGGTGCAAATCAAATCAAATTGTAATCCAAAACGCTCTAGGCACCAAAGACAAGAAAAAAAACCCCGAAGATGGGGAGGCCAGGATGACGAGGAGGATGGCGATGATGATGTGTTAACAACATAATTATAGCCCAGAGCCAAGTGTTTCGATCGGCAAAAGGGGAGCGCAGTGCACAGCACAGAACAGCACAGCACAGCACAACCCCTCGGCCAAAAGCAACCACTCAAAACAAAACGGAAATGAAGCAAAACAACCCTCTGATGTGCTTAGTACCCGTTTGCACTCACATTCGCATTCACATTTTCATTCATTTCCCTATTCCAAATCTCCCCATCAACAAAACACGACGAGCTGGCAACTGGTGTAGCAATGAAAAACGTATTGCAAATCAAATAAAATTAAATTGAGACCGTTTCGGTTTGCATTACGGGGGAGGTGCAGCAGGGGGTGGTTTCCAACCTTAGCCACAATTAGTTGGTCAAATAAAGCCGCAAAAGTGTTAAGCAATTTGCACTAATCAGAAGGTTAAGCACTGTAGATCTGTGCGGTTGAGTCTGTTGAAATTAAGTGGGATTGTTTGAGGGGCTCAGGGGCCTTGGTTATCGTTCCTATGGAAGCTAAAACACTTTGTTCATAAATATCTTACGATACATCCCTCTTTTATCAGTAATCTTCGATTGATTTTTCAAATTGATAGGTCAAATTGGAAATTTAACAATGTGGTTTCGATTTGCCCTGGTAGAGATCATTAAAAGGGGCTTAGTTGGAATCCCTAGAAAATTTCTATCTATTTAATGAAATGGAAATGAAGCACTTATAAGGTGTTCATTGAAAGTAACTTGTTAGGAATGGAATAGGAATTATTAATAATTGATTGATTTTATATGCACTTAAAAACAGGGTCAAATTGAACTGAATTCAATTAAACTAAAATAGCCATATATGGCTTGAGTGTATTAATAAATGGGGGAACCACTGCAACGAAGCCATTGATCGATTAAACTATAAAAATAACATTGCCCATAAATTTACCATAAGTTAAATTTACTACAATTTTACAGCCAAAATAAAATTGAAAATAATTGGCTCTCAAATTATTTCAACATATCCCGTCAATGTTATTCAGCATTCAAATTTTTCTAGATTGAAATTAAATTTTGAATTTGGACGAAAGAATTTCTCAAAATATGAATACTCCAAATAAAAAGATATTTTAAAATTTTAGTTTAATATACAACTAAAGTTAATTATATTTCTCCCTTCTTGATAGGCAACCTTATCCGGTCAGATGGACAAGTTCGCCTTGGAGCGCAGCTCGTATTTGAGCAACTCGTCGCAGGCGAGTGCCTACAGCGCCTATCTGGACCCCAGTGTGCTCACCAAGGCCTATTTCGACTCCAAGATGTACCAGGATCGGGCGGCCAACTATGCCTTCGACATATCCAAGATCTATGGGGCCCAGCAGCATGCGGCGGCCCACCACCAGCAGCAACAGCAACAGCAGCAGCAGCAGCAACAGCAGCAGCAGCAACAGCAGCAACAGCAACAGCAGCAACAGTTGCTGCTCAGCGGTGGCGGCGGGGGTAGCGGTGGGGGCGGTAGTGCCAGTTCGCACAACAACAACAGCAGCAGCGGACTGGATGACCGCGATGCCACGCCCCAATTGGAGGCGGTGGAGGCTAAGCCGCATCTGCATTCACCCAGCGATGTGGGTCTGGACTATGCCCAATATGCCCAGCAATATGGCGGTCAATTGGCCTCCGCAGCGGCAGCGGGTGGTGCTGTGGGTGGGGCAGCCGCCGGCGGTGGGTCAGCAGGCGGTGGGGGAGGTGGTGCCACCGCAGCGGACTTCCGGCGACCGCTGACGGTGATCTTCTGACCACCATCTTCCAATGGCAGCGAGGAGTTGAACTTGTCTATGACCTAGGAGAAATAAAAGCAAGGCCAAGATCCTCAATTCGTTTGCAATTCTAATGGGCCAGAGAAGCCTGTTCATTTTCCGGCAAGATTTCAATCTTATTCCTTTCCAAGCTAAGTAAAATATAAATACTAAATAAATTAGTCTAGAGTTTTTGGAAAATTCAAATTTAACCAAATTTAAATGGAATTGCCGACGAGAAACGAGGTGAATTACCCCCGTAATGAATATAACGAAATGGGTATATCGAATAAAACCGAAAATGCGAGATTAAAGTTAAACGTAGCCAACATTTACATGTAAGTCTCCAGTTGTAAACTAAACTTAAGCTTTGTTAAAATAGAGTGGACAAGCAAATGGAGGGAAGACCGAGAGATAGAAAAGAACAGATTGATTTAGAGAGGCAAAATCACTTAGCAAAAACAACAACAAAATTTCAACAAATTGAAACAACAACGAGCGGTGCAATTTTTTTATGTTTTAAACGCAGATCGAAGTGCATAGCATAAATTTAAAATTAAATTTAAATGTATTTAAATTCTACACTAAACACACACAAAACTAAACAAGCAAAATAAACACAAAATATATACATCAGAAGCCAGAAAAAAATAAAAAAAAAAAAATAAAAGACGCATTGTCATAAGCAGCAAACTGTTTCGTTTTTTTTTTTTACTTTTAAGGGGAGTGGAAATGCTAAGGAAAGACGTTTATAAAAAGTGGCAAGCAAAGTCTTTGGAAAACCCCTTACTTGAAATTAAAGTCTTACTGTCTAGCATTATAAAAAATTAAAAAAGTCTAATTATTATATTAAATAAATTGCAAAACTTAAAAAAAAACTAAGTCCGTCCAATTAAAAATAAAAGGGACAATGAAACGTTGTGGCCTCATTTCGAATTATATTTGTGTAATTAATTACAGACGGAGACTGAACACAGAAAGCTTAATTACAGCTTGATTGTTACCCTGGGGGGTGGGTGTTTGGATGTGGGCGGCTGGCAAAAGTCAAGAGTGCTAAACGCTTCCTAATGACGGCAACTTCCGGCCAATCAGGTTGACAAAATGCAGCAGAGCAAACTGAATTGCTCAAGGAGCCGCAGCAACTTAACGTTCAAGTTTGAACCTCGGGCGAAATTACCGTTGGCCACTAATTAATGGGCGCGCGCAAGTTGAGGTGCAAAAATCCAAGTAAATTTAATTAATTTTACGCTCTCTTAAGCGCCGGCAATTAGCGGTAATTGTGGGAGTCTCTGATTTTGGGGGTAGGCTTAGTCCAAAGAAAGTTGTGGCTGAGGCTATTTCTAGGTAATTTAGGAAGATCCCTACCGATTTAATATAATTGCTAAGCTTCTTGCGCCACTTGCTGGAGTTCCTCGTCGCCGTCGGCAGGTTTTTTTTTTATTTGGAAAGTGAACCGCCGTTTGGAAAATCTGTCATTCTGTAAATTTTCCGACTAAATCGGTAAAATTTTCCACTTTCTGATTCCACTTCAGAATTTACATTTAAATTTTGAATAGCGCACCTAGCGGACTATTTTTGAGACTTCTTATTGTATTAACAGCGCCATCTACCAATACTCTGTTGCTGATTCTAGCACTAGATGACGCCCCACTACCGCTGTAGAAATCGTTCGTAAGATTCATGTAAAATTCGCAGGTCACAAATGCCTCCGCAAGATGTCGCACTTGTTTGTTAAAAAATTCAATACAGTGTTCATTCGCTACAGTATTAATTGAGTTGGAGGGAGTTTAATTAAAAGATTATTTAAAAATGAGCTGGCCATTTTAATAACTAAATACAACGGCTTCTTTTTAATTTTTTAACACGACAGAACACAAAGCATTTTACGGTATCATAGATATATAAAAGAAAACCTTGAATAGTCTTCCTAATTCACCCCAGAAAGCGCTACTTTCGAAATTTAAATGACTGAAAATCAATTAGGTCAAAGGATATCATAATAGAATATCCTTCGTTGGCATCAAATTCTAGCTGAGCAATTGTAATAAACTGTACGAATTCACTATCTTCAGCCCTTAATTGAAATTTAGAAAAGTTTTCAGATTTCTCTTCCAGTTACATCAGCTCATAAAACTTCTTCTGCAGTTGGTCGTAATATTTTATTTAACTCTGAATTTTCTTTCTGCAAATTAATAATAATATCTTGTTGGTGTCTTGCATTTCCTGCACTTATTATTATATCTAACTGTCAAAAACAAATTGTAATGCAGCCAGACCGAGTAAAGAGATTACGGCTTTACTGGATCTTAAAATTAAATTTTTGATAATAGTTTGAATTGGAATTCCGGAGATCAGAAGTCCAAAAAGTAAGGAAGCTTAAAAAACATTTGTAAAGGTGTCCATGTGACCAACTATTTTAACCTTTCTCCAGTGCCACCCTTTTTTCTTATCAGCCTCCTCATTCGACTGCTTTGCATTTGGCCTTATTTAAAACACAAATCACGATTAGCGCAACCACATTTCCTATTTTTGGTCCCTCAAACCTAAGGGAAAGAAGGCGAACAAACGAGATAGAGAGACAGAGGGTCTGCTCGAATATGCAAAAAATTTGTGCCACGTTGTGCCGCTAAAATCCCCTCCATAAATTATTGCAACTAAACGCAACCAAACAATGCTGCGATGGTCTATGGTGGGTTCACTCCAAAAACACCCAAAATTATGACTGTAGGGGGGAGGGAAAGTGGGGAATGCGTCGGTGGGTCAGTGCTGAGGATCTAGCCAAAGCATTTCCAAGCCATGATATTAAGTCGCTAAATTATATTAAAAAAAATAGGATTTACCAATTATGTAGATGAGCTTAAATATACATAGGGATTTTTCCTTTCGTAAGGCTCTTTTAAATTGATTAAAAAAGTAAATTAAATTTAGTATTTAAATAAGTATAAACAGATGTAAATCTTTACACAAATTTTGCGATACCGCTAAAGCGAAATTTTTTCTACAGGTATTTTTATTATAGCTGAAATTTTGCTTAAATATTGTGTTGGAGTATTTAATTTGTTAGGCTTTATTAAAGTTAACACGAAGCTTACCAAATGACCCCAACTTTATTGAAGTACGCTATTTTATTAGCTATTTATTCCACAGATTAAAAATCCCTGAGTGGGAGGTACCCTCAGCTAACTATGATTTCTACTCCCGGCACATTCTGCTCTTTATTGTGCTGGGAGATGACCGCATAATAGGGACTGCCATAATGTCCATTAAATGGGAACAAATGAAGAAATGTCGGGGTCTCCGAGCCAAATATCCTGCCGTTCCAACGGAGTGAGCTGCTCTGCCAGCCGACGATAAGGGGCTCTTTCTTCCTATTCAGGCATGTCCTCGCCAAGGACCACCAGTTGCTGGCGCCTTTGTTTTGTATCCGTCTGTTCTGGCTTTTGGCCAATAAAATGCATTCAATTCGCATGCAAAACAAAAAGCGATAAAAAACGCGTCACCATTGAGAACGCTTCTAAGCAGCGACCCCACTCCCCGGTCTTCTCTTCCCGGAGCATTGTCTACGCCATTGGTCCAAAGCGCCTGAAATCGACATGCGCGCACTTTCAAGGGTGTGAGGGGGTGGTCGAGGGTGTGTTGTGGGGGGTGTTGGGGGTCTGGGGGCACACACACATTCCTAGAGCGCTGCCATTTTTATGGCAGTTCGATGGTAAAGGGGAGAGCTCACCAAATGCGTTTCCTACTTAGCATTTGTTTTGCTGAACAAGTGAAGGGCAGAGGTACTGAGGGGGGTTGAAAGGAGGGTTGGTTGGAGGGGTAAATTGGGGGTGCGGGGGCTCAAAACTCTCCAAAAGTTACGACCACTTGGAGAGCGACGCCTGCGCAAAACAAGCCCTTCGGAAGATATCTTTTTATGGCGCCAACAGTTGTTTTTTTAAAAATGATAGAGGAATGCAGAGCAGAAGACTTAAATATGTTTCAATACTAACAATTGTAAGCATCAAGAAAAAAAAAAAACAAAAGTTTGTTTGCTCTGTTTTCATTTAACGGAAAAGTCAATCGATAACTTAATAATAAAATTAAAATGATGTTAAGTAGGTTAAAGCTTAAGAGTTCTAGTTTCCACTGAAAAAAATAACATAAGTCCTGCATAGGTCTGTTCACTTATTTGAAATTAATATTTTGAGCTTCAATTAAATCCAATTAATTTCTACCGAAAAATGATAGTAACATCAATATTAATAAAGTAACTTATTTGTGTGACACCCGTCGTGTTACATATTTTTATGTTTACATTACACTGTAAACACTAGAAAAGCCTTCTAATTTCCAAGTATTCCGCAATAGAAATGCTCCCTTAACTGAACGATGAACACTGTTATTATAAAGGTTGTCATTTATAAAAAATTTTAGCAATCTGCTTTAATGTTGTTCTATTAAGGGATCATTTTATGGTTGCAATTATACAGAAACCGATATAAGAACAACAACAACGAGAATTGGGAACTTCCTGTGTGTACGATTTGAGTGGAAAGCAAGGGGCAATTGAGCGACAATGCCAACAAAAAAGGGTCAAGCTTACCGGCAGGAAAGTTTGTCCAAAACATACCAAATGAGCCATCGATCTATTTTGGGAGCAGTCAATTCACAGAGATAAACTTGGTTAGTTCTAGTGGCATCTTACATTCGGTGACTTTACGAAAACCAGCAATTAAGTTTTAAAAAGAATATTAAAACTTTTCAAAATATTATAATAGCATCTGAAACTTAAAGTCACAGTTTGGTTTATAATATAAATTTTATATAGACACATAAATCCGATCCTCTAGGCAATTTAAAATTTTTACTGTTTGTCTTAACAAAAATAATAAGACAAATAAAATATATTTATCATACGTAAGAGATCGAAAAAAACCCAGATACCCAGAGATATTGCAGTGATGAAATGCTAAAGGAGCAGAGTTCGGTGAAGAAGAATGCAAACATGGACACAAAACCGAAAACAAACGCGAGACAATCGTCAACAAGATACAAAACGCAGATACAAAGATACAAAAGCAGCAGCAGTGGATTTTTATCACTTAGCCGCCACGTTGACGCGTCCTCCGAAGGTGTAAAAAACTCTACAAAAAGAGCTCTCTCTCTCTATCTATCGCTCGCACTGCCTCCCTTTCTCGCTTGCACTTGCTATCTCCTCTGTCTCTCTTTCACTCTCTCCCTCCCACTCGGTCCTTTTTTGGCGGCAGCGACGCAGCAGCGACCAACCACTACAGAGACACACTTCTTCTTGCCCCTTTTTGTTGCCTTTGGTTTGTTTGCCGTTTTTGTCGCAAGTTTTCGAATGTGTTTTCAAATCTAAATTGTCGCGCACTCGAAACGGACGCGTTGCGCTCGGCTAACGGTGAATGTGAATGGCAGAATAACGGTTAAGATACTACCCACGCTCGTGAATCTTAAACTGTTAAAAAACAAATATTTAAATATCGTTTTTGTGCATTTGTGTATTTAAAAGAGCTTGCACTTCGATCAACAATTGAGATCTGAATAAACTTTACTAAAAAACTGTTGATCGTATTTAAAATTCTTGTGCAATTTAAATGTTAGTTAAGTGACATGTTTCTAATGGAATACAAAAATAAGGTTTTTAAGACAAAATTATAAAGAAAAGAAGCAACTGCTTAAATCAAGGTGAGTTTGAATGTTGCCTTAATCAACATTTTAAGCGAGGGCTTTGGGTATACATAGGTAAATACAACTGATTGTCGATCATCAACAATCGTAATTTTTACCAACAGCAAATTTAAATATTTATGTAAGACATAAACAACAAATAAAGGGTTATTGATATCTTAACTTAAATTAAAATTTAATACATTATAATAGTAACGTCAATTTGTTGCAAACAAATGGAAATCGAAAATACATATGTACCTCAATAGGCAGTTTCATATTCCAACTTTAAAAAACACAGCGTTTAGTAAAAAATGTTTATGATGTATGTTATCTTGTTAGGCTTAGAAAGGTTTAATTTTAATAATCGACCATTTTTTTTGTTAGCTTTGTTTACTTTATTTAACTTTAAATATATTAGAGCCAATTTTTCTTCAGCGGATGCTTAGGATAATTATAAGCATGTACATTTCTTAAAGATCATGTTAAGCTTGAACATCTTTTAAGGGAAACCCCAAAATTTGGAAACCAACCACTTGGTTCCGAAATCCGGTTTTGAAAATATATCAAATGTTTGCTTTGATTTGTCATAAAACCGAAATGCAGACTTGAGTCCCCCTTAAGCACATATTCAATGGGGTAAAAGAGACTCCATTGTGATTTTTTTTTTTTTTGTGAACTATTTGCAGTCTTTACCCCCACGAGAGGTTCAATTAAATGACTCATGCAGGGAACAGCAGACAGAGTCCCCAATCTAACAAGGTATATCTATTGAATACCATTTCCGTTGGCATTTCAGAGCTCGAGGAGCAGCAGTACCACCTGATAATTACCACCTGCAACCCCATCGGAGTCCCATTGGAGTCGAAGTGCCCCCGAATCATGACGAGCATCTCGGCGCTGCTCCACCGGAGCCACAGCCACAGCAACGGGTACACGAGCAGCGGGAGTAGCAATCACAGCCACAGCAGCAGTCTTTCACCGCAGTTGCCCGGCATCAGTTTGGGTTTGGGAATGGCCAGTGGTTTGGGACTGGGAGCGGGAGTGGGAACGGGAAACAGCACCCCACCACCGCCGCCGGCTGACCTCGCCATTCCAGCAGCGGCTCCTCCGCCCGTGGCTTCCAAAATGCATCACCACCATCATGCCAATTCGAATGCCAACCCCCACTCCCACTCACACTCCCACTCCAATTCAAATTCTGGATCCCATCACAGCCACGACCACATTAAACGACCAATGAACGCTTTCATGGTCTGGTCGCGGGGGCAGCGCCGCAAAATGGCCCAGGACAATCCCAAAATGCACAATTCCGAAATATCGAAGCGCCTGGGCGCCGAGTGGAAATTGCTCACCGAAGGACAGAAGCGTCCATTCATCGACGAGGCAAAACGATTGCGGTAAGTACTGTTCACTGAGGTCTGGTTAAAATACACTAAGAGAATAAGCGCAAATACTTGGTTTTCCACCTATTTATAAGGTGTAAGGATAGAAGGTGTTATGAAGAAGGATTCATTTCAAGCAAAATGTTATGAATTTGAGAAAATTCTGTGAAATACACAATCCGTTTGGACATTTAATTAAAAGTAGGTAGTAGAGAATCCTCAAACGGAAGCTTTTGAAATAACTTTAAAAAGTTAGTCACCGTTTGTTATCTAATTTTAATATTCCATATATAGTCCCATTACTCAAACAGGCAAATTAAAGTGAGGTTGTAAAAACAGTCTGAGGCAACGAGTTAGTTATCTAAAAAAAATCTGAGACAAAACCCACTCCGGGGTATAGTGATTAAAAATATCCCTAGTTAAAATATGGTTTTTAAAACCCCACAACAATAAAATTCTGGTTTTTCCACTAATCTGAAACTTTAGTTTGCTAGGTTCCTTATATGTTATGGAGTTCTAAAAAACGACCATTAATGAACAAAATAGTTGTTTTCTTTCTGTGTGGTGTTCAGTCAGAAGCAGAGGGTTGAGGGTGGATGGGAAATTGTATCTTGGTTTCAGTTACGGTTTTCCCAGTCGGCAACTCATTCTCTCTCGGTGCCGCCTGGCCACAAAATTTGATCGATTAGCTAAGACAAAGGCTCCCTATTGTGAGGAGCTTCTGCTGCATTGTAGAGCTCTGCAGCCGGGGATTGTGTCCGCTCTGCTTAGTCAGAATTTCATTGGCACTGGCATATCTTGGGTAAACATTTCAATTGAAGTTGTCACACAAAAGGGAGACGACACGTCGCATTTTGCTTCTTTTTTGTTTAACCCCTTTGAGCATACTCTACCGTAGGAGTGTTAAACCCTTGAGCTTTGGATTGGCTTAATTCATATATCAGTGGGGATTAACTATGCGTACAGAGGGTTCGGAAATATCCTCAGTGTTTTTCTTTAAAAGTATATAGTTATAAGAAATATTAATAAAACTGTTTTCAATACAATTAAAATAAGATTCAGGTTTAAAGTGGTAAAGAAAATTGCTTTTATCAACTCTTAATTTTGAACGAGTGCTTTAACATTTAAAAATGTTTATTATGAAGGGCAACTAATTTTCTACGAATTATATTTTTCTGGCCTTAACAATAAAAAAACAATTCCCTATCTTACAAAAAAGTGTGCAACCTTCTTATTATTCTACACCTACCAAGATAGTGACGATGACGAACCTCTGTGTTTGCACTGTCATAATCCTTTTATTGATTGGATTGGCCTGCCAAAATGGAAATGTGAAATTTTATGTACTTTTTATGACATTTATAAATGAGCAGGGCTCGTCTGAAGGGGCTTAAACTAATGGCCATTCGGGGTTTTCAAGCGAGCATATCGAATGAAAAGAACCAAAAATTCTGTTTAAATATTTGCCAATGCGCGATGATAAGAAAAACAATATTTTTTTTTTTTCGGGACCCGCGATAACGCAGACATAACTGACCAAAGTAAAAGAAAACAAAATAAAGAAAAGAAAAGCGAAAGTAAAACAAGATGAGAAGACCCAAACTCACCTTTTATCAGGTTTTATCGTTTTGTCAAACAAATGTCAACAATTGCGCATTGTTGCAGCTGGGAAATCGAAGTTAAAATCGGAGTGGGTTCTTCTTTGCTAAATACACAACATAAACTTGTGCATTTTGTGGCTCTATGTGTGTGGGTTTATGGAAGGGTTCCGCTCCTCTTGGGGTTTACGACCAGAGATGGCTGGCTTTATGATATCATCAAAGTTTAAATCGTTCGATCTTTTGATCAGTGTTCCAACATTTGCTCAATTTACAGGGCCCTGCACATGAAAGAACATCCCGACTACAAGTATCGACCACGTCGCAAGCCCAAAACGCTAAACAAGTCACCGGTGCCAGGTGGAAATAGTGGACCTGGAGCTGGTGCTGGTGCTAATGGTGGAGCCAATGGCAATCCCGGTTCGGGAGGCCCAGGATCGGGTGGCTCCCCAAAGGACATGCAGCCGCAGCTGTCGCCTTTGGGTCAGTCACTGCCCCACCTCCATGGACATCCCCACCAGCCTTCCTACCCGACGCACCATCCGCACCACCCGCATCCCCATCCACATCACGTGCAGCTGGCCGCCGCCACGCTGAGCGCAAAGTACGGATTCGGATCGCCGCTGGAGCTGTCCCTGCCCCGCCTGCCGAACGCCTTTCCCGGCCTCGCCCACTATCCGCTGGACCCCACGCTGGCCCTCGATCTGCAGGCCCGCCTGCAGGCCATGTACGCCGGCTCCATCTACCATCCGTGGCGGTACCTGCCGCTGATCAGTCCGGAAACACCGCCCTCCCCGCCCAGCAGCAGTGGCACCGGCATCTCCTCCTACGGCTGCGTCAAGTCGGAGAAGTCGTCCCCAAACGGGGTGGTGGCCAACACGGCCAGTCCGCCCAACATCATTTGACCGACTCCATTGCGCTTCGGCGCCGGCACCACCACCTCCTCCTCCTCCGCAGAGCATGTGGTTTAGGATTGCTCACCACCAAGGGAGTCCACACTATTCCCAGAGGATCCATCACGGAATCGGCCACTTGGTCACCCCGCCCCGCAAGTTAAAAGTCCTAATGTTAGAACCTAGTGTTAGTCGAATATTTGTGCGTGTCTTCAGTTTCAGCTCTTACAAAAGCGTAATTTAAAACAGTTTCTAAAGATTTTGTAAAATCTCGAATGAGTGGACTTTCAAGACTTTATTTAAAATTGAATCCAACCTCAATAAAATTAATTTAAATAACAACCTTCTTGCAGTTAGCACTTTTTATTTTAAGAACATCAATTATCATTCAACATTTAATTTCTTAAATATTTAAAAGAAATTTGTTGACATTAAAAATACCAAATTAATCCATTTCAAAATTTGTTTTTATCTATATTTATTTACCTAAACTTTAATTTTTCTGTTTATTTGTTAATTAGGTTCATCAAATTGTTTTATAACCAATAAAATTTTCTTTAAAAAGCAATTAAGTCTGAGTTAATATATTGTTGATTAATTAAATCTAATTAGTCCGATTTCATTTTCAAAAATCTTTGAATTAATGCATTGATTTAAAATACATTTTAAATGATTTTACAAACTTTGTTATCAAATTCCGGAACCCACAGTTGCTTTTTAAGTCTTTAGTGCATTAGATTTGTTAAGGCATCGAGAACATGTCGATTTTTTTGTAATATATGATTATAAAACTATACTTTAATGTGATAAACGAAAAAGAGCAGAAAATTAATTAAAAACTGTGAGAAAATAAACGATTTTTAACTAGCGCACCAGACGCATTGCACGGCAATTCAAGAAAATATATATAGTGCTATGGGGATTGATAGCTACATCTGTACAATTGCATAGCCCCTGACTCCAAGAATCAACCAAACCTACCTGAAGACCTGATGAAAACGTGAGTGAAAATCACTACTCGCAATCTGTCAGGCGTCACTGTTAAACGCCACAGGCTTCTGAATAATAACGACAATGTTTGCTGATGCGTTGATTATTAGTTTAAATTGCCGACACGCCGCGGGGATGAATGGACGTGGATGATGGCCAGGATTGTCTGCCGTTTCCGAGGGGTGGCGATGGTCCTTAATGGGATTCCTTCACGCCCACTTGTTTAGGCGACCGACTGTGAATCGCTCACCGCTGAGGCGTGTCAATAATGCTCGGCCCAAAAACAATTGACACTTTTTTGTCGGAGGCACGGCAAAACAAAGCAGCAACCACCACTATGATTGAACTCGGGGGAGGATGGGTGGCTGGATGGTTGGGTGGCTGGGTGACTGCCTGACTGGGTGGCGGTACAGAGCAATCGCGACGGCATCGTAACCAGCTGAAAAGCCGCCCATAAAAGTCACACAAATGCCACGCTGCAACGCAACGAAACTGCTGATAAGAAGTGCCAAATACCAAGGATACCGCACCCAACTCATCCCCTTACTCCACTTGCCAATCTGCTCCTCAGAACTTCACTTGAAAAAAAATACTTTCCAAACTCAAATAGTTTTTCAGTTTAGAAAAAATTAAAAACATTTTTTAGGCTTTGTATACTAGAACTTTTGGAGATAATTGTATTTAATTGATTTACTTTTGTAAGGAATATTTTTTTTATTAAGACTAAAAACCTTTATTAATTAAAAAAAATATAAATTTGCTGAAGACTAAAAACCTTTATTAATTAAACAAATAATATGAATTTGCTGAAGGCTAGCACTCAAAAATTAGTTTTCCGAGGCACTTCCATTTCTTCTTTTAAGATTTTAATTTATCAAACAATATTTTACATGGGCTCATATACAATATTAAATAAATTTAAAAAGCATCTTTTATGTTTAAATCAATTATCATTATAGTTTAAGTTACTAAAGTTTGTTTGTTGAGTGTTGATTGCCTGCCCATTTTCACAATCACACAGACATTGTGGGGTGGTCTGTGCCTTTTGTTGCCTGCAAGGTCGTTTTTATAGTGCCACAGAAACAGTCACAGACTCGAACTTGAATAAGCATTTAATGTTTGCATTTTGACCTCACCCAAACGCAGACAAAAGGAGCTGACAGTCGCTTCCATTCTGGCCAAATCACTTGTGCGAAACTCTATGAAATGCTACAACAATATTTGCCCAATGAAATTGTGAGGGGCAGACGAGCAACCCCCAAGAGAGCAATCCATGAAGTAGTTCGACTGTGGGAACTTACAAATTGCCGAAATGCTTAACAGATCATGAAGTAATAATTGAATTAAACTGTGTTTTTAAATCTCTTTCTCATAGAAAAAATTAGTTTTAACATTCAAGTGCAACGCCAAACATAATAAGCAGTCAGATATTTGAAATTGGTGTTTTAATCTCTTTCTAGCCTCTAAATATGTTTAAAATTCAGACTTTACATTTAAATGGCAAACCAAAAGGATACTTTTAAAGATTAAGATAATGTAAACTTTAAACCAACAAAAAGTAATCCTTTGTTAAAACATTATTTCTAGTCAAAATTTAACTTCTCATAAAGATGTTAAAAGTTACCCCAAGTACTCAACACTCTAATGCAGCAATTATCAAAAAATTTAACGGGTCAACTGGTTGGGTGGGATCGGGATCCAGAAGCCAAGTCAACTGGCTATCAAAACTAACAGACACGCGCTGCACGTGCGACCCTTCGCCACTTCGCCCCTTTGCCCCTGACCTCCGACCTCCGACCCCCGATCATCAGCATCATCTCGCTATACTATACTCACTTGTTTCAAGACAAATAAAAACATTGAAAGCGAGTCAGCGAGGGAGAAAAATAGCAGAGCCAAAAACGTGTGAAATAAAAGTTTGTTTGATTTTCTTTGTGCGGAGGAAGTTGGTAGTGAAAGGGGGGGTTTGAGAGCACCAAGAATTGCGGTGACAAAAGTACACGGATAAAAATTGTGCTAGTTCCTATATTACAAATTTCAAAAGTAATTCTAACTATAATAATATATGTAGATTTAAAATTTTGTTGAATATTTTGTTTTTTTTTACCATTTACTGTACATATATCCCTTTTATTGCGGTTATCTAATAAAAAAATTTCATAGGAACTTAAAGACCTGCATTATTTTTATCTACTTCATAAACATAATTCCGATCCTAGACTTTTCGACTTTAAAATACATGCTACAATCTAAAAGTATTTCAGTTTTTAGTAAATTAGTAAATTAACTTTTAGAATATACGATTGATACAAACACATTTACCAGAATATTTTTTTCATAATCCTTTGAATTTTGTCTGTGTAACAAAAAACCAACGAATGCTGTTCCCTTTCTTTCATCAGCCAACCAAACCAAGTACTGGTATCACACTACTCGAGGCAGGGAATTTTTTGTTTTATTTGACAGGATGCTGGCGAAGGTAACCCCAACCCACTGGCTCTGTCACCACTTCCACTTCCAGTGCCAGAAGCCGACTCCACCTCCTCGAGTCCTGCCTCCATCCTTTGCTATTTCAGTCCTGGCACACTCACATCCGTTGTGATAAAAAGAAATATTTTCTTTTGGCAGCAGACTTTGGCTTTTCTTCTCCGCTCTTGGCCCAATGCTTCATTATTACTATATTTATATTTATTTGCTGTACTTTTTCTTTCATTCCGGGCCACCATTCACATTCCATTTCATTTTGCTGACTACTGACTGCTGACTGTTTAAGGTGGCCCCGAAAGACCATTACGCAAAGGATATTGTGTGGCCATGAATCAATTGGCCAATGTCCACAAAAAAAAAAAAAAAGTTATGCCCGGAAATATGTTGAACCGCCAAACTGATGACATTCCATTTGCATTTTTTAGGCTATTTCACGCCAAAAGGTCGTCGGAGGCCAGGCCAACCCACTTAATCGCATGTAATAAATTTTAATTTTTTAAGCATTTGTAAGCAGTTTTATCAGCCCAACAAAGGACGCACAGTTTTTTTTTAATGCCAAGCCAGCCGAAAAAAAGGAAAACGCGAAAAGGATATAAGATTAAGACGGCAAGGCGAAGTTGAGACATAAAAAAAAACAACGCCGAGCAAATTAGCAGCCTAGAAAGTGGGCGAAGGTGGGAGGATGCGGTTTATCACGCCCACAGCTCGTCGAACGGATTTCCGACGCATGGAAGACAAACAAAAAAGGCATTAAATCGCATTTAAGTCAAAGCGGGCGGCGACAAAGCCAAAAGCGAAACCGAATCCCAAGCACCCAAGAACGAAGCCAGAAACATCCACCACTTCGCCTTGACTTGACTTGACTCGAATCGACTCGACTTGGCTCATTCTTTTGGCCAGGAGAACAAGGACAACTGGCACTCCAGACAAGGATGTGTTCTCGTGCGGAGCATCGAGCTTATCACTTGTTGGGGTTTCTTGGTAAGGGATTTCGATTCCCAAATATGTGGAATATTATTGTGGAGGTGAAGGTAGATTCATATGGTGGTAGAACTCTTAACTGAATTGTAATTGAATTGTGATTGAAAGTATGTTATTTATTTGGCATAAGTCTTTGTTAAAAAATATGTTTAATTTGAATTATTTTATTGATATTGATAATCGCTATTATTAGTTATATACAATTTTGTATTGGTTTTAAGCAAACTGTTAGTGTATACATAATTCGAAGTCGGCTATAATTTTCCTATTTATGTTTATTTCACATTTGCACTTATTATTGTGACTATGATACAATAATTTAGTTTAATCTGAACTTCACCTCTTGTTAGAGTAACAGGCATTTAGTATTGTTATTGTTACTGTTATTAAAATAATTTAAAGTATATATATAGTTATGCCACTATGTAGAACTAAATAAAAAAAATAAATCTTTTGTACAATATATTTGTAGTTTTCAAATATTTGTAGTAAACATGCTTAAAATACACTTAAAATAAATATTAAATTAAAAAAATCTGCAAAGTTAGTACTCACTTGTTTGCGAAAGGTTAATTGCGAACCGAGATAAGGAGTCCAGGCACAATTGCCTGGCCTTGTTTTGATAGCCCAAAAAACCTGTGAGAGATTACCTCGCACGCTTGGAAACAGCGCTACTGGGAGCAACGAACGAAGAATTGCAGTTCCATATTATATTGAGTACTTCATGCTGCATCAAGGAAGGAACTTTACTGTTTTATTGGTGAATCCTGTTAAACGGAAGTCCCCAGGTTCGAGAAAAGAGCTACCCATCGGATAAAAACCAGTGCTCCATGGCTGGCAAAGTCCAGTGCTGGAATAATGCAAATTGTGGCACAATCGGCGATGGCATTACTATGCACATAAAGCGCATTCCATCCGATGTCCGAGGCCGGGAGCAATTAAAGCGAGCAGCAGTCGCCTCCGCCGTAAATGCACCGGTTCACAATGCCGGAATGGAATGTTTTTTCAGGCCGCTCACAGTGGGTGCCAAAAGGACACCCCCGTGGCACAAAGGAGCAATTAATGCGAAATTGTAGCTGCATAATTGCTGAACATGCAGCAAGGGGCAAGCGGCAAGCGGCGAGCGGTGGCATAAAGAAGCAATTAATGTCGCACAAATGCGCTTGGCATGCATAAAAATGGCAAGTCGCAAAAAAAGCGTGAAAAGTGCAGCAGTGGCAAGTAAAAATCGCTTTTACTGTCCATTTTCTGGCCAGAGTTGTAGTCTAAAGGCTGAATGCCACGCCGGAGATGCCAAACAATTGCAATTACATTAGAAAAGGCATCAGGACAGCAGCAACAATGATTACAGACAAGCCAAAATAGTGATGGTCATAATACCTATCCTATCCGAATTTAACCTATCATAATTATTTAATTATTCAAAAAAACAAAAAATGATTAATAATATTTTATATTATATATATATATTATAATATTTATATATATATATATATATATATATATATATATATATATATATATATATATATTTTCCTTAAAGAAACTTTTTACTTTATTAATAAAATTTTATTAGTAAAATGCACTAGAAAGTATCTTGTTTAGATGTACATAAGCTGATATTCTGTGATGTTAAAAAAATTATATTATACTATTATGTAAGCTTTGCAAAATCAGAAAGCCAACTTATACATTCGTTCAAAAATTGTTAATGTGAGGTGTGAATGCAGTTGCTAAAGCTGTGTTTTTAAATATAATTTAAATTGTAGTTAAACGAAATAAATATAATTTTAAATACAATTTAAGCTGTAGTTAAACGAAATAAAAGAGCTATCCATATTGTTACAAATTCATTGGTATTTTTCCTTCTTGTGTTTAGTTCATTTAAATTTGTGTAAAATACTGTCTTCAAAGTATAGCACATCCCTAAGCAAATCTAAGCTTGGGCCACCCACGTAGCGTTTTTTACTTCCGTTGCATGCCAGGCACGTTGCAAAATTGTCGCAGCGCAGACAACCAAAAAAAATGGCAACAAAAATCGTTTGGCGAACACAAAAGCCACGGACAAACGAATTGCCAATTTAAATGTGAATAGAAAAATTGCATCGACTCGTCCGCATCGCTCACCCACCCACTGCACTCCTTTATCCTTTCACAATCGCCAATCACTCACTCACGCGAACAATGACGCTGCCAAATGCTACGTGGCCTTCATTTTGTGGCTCCAACTCCGCATCTGTTCACTTTTGAGCTGCACTTGGAGGTCTATTTACATTGGCACTCTAAGTTTTTGGATTAGAAATTTTACTAGGTCTTAGTAAGAATCTAAGAGACTCGAAAATGTAGAAATGCCTTATCGAAATCAAACAACTAAACAGAACAGTTAATTTGTAACACTATTGCTTTTAAACAATTTCTCAATAAGAAGAGTATCAAATTACCACGAAAGTGTCAAAATAAAACTTATTGTTTTTTTTTTTCGGTATAGAAATAAAATTAGAAAGTATAAGTCCTTTAGTGAATTAAGAATATTTTTTCGAGTTCAACGAGATGACATATGAAATTTCATATTTTGATCTTTATTTATTGGGATATAAGGTAAATTACTGATATTTCCAAGTGATTTTGCAAACGTTTTGCCAGCATCCAATCATAAAAAAAAGCAAAGATTGGCCAAACATAATCTTATATTTTAATAGAACATTCATTTGCTAAAAAGATCTAAGCAAAGATCATTAAACATACAATAAGCAAAGCATCGTGCCAATTAATTAGCAGGGACATCAGCAATGTTAATGCATTATATTAATTTGTCAAACAGGTCACCCGTACTCGGATTATGCTGACTTTTTGCACATAAACAGGTTCATAAATTCTATTTCTTATCAGTTGTGAGTTGAATTTTTCCATGCTGAGACGTTTTCTTCCTCGTTCTTATCAGCAATGGAATTAGCATGATGAAATGCATGAATTTCATAAATATTTTAGTTTATAATTTCGCTACATATTGCAATGTGCAACTGCAGTTTGCAGATTGTTTGGTGGGCAAATCTAAATTGCCAGCAAACACGTACGGCAAACACAAAGTCAGCGGGTCAAGCAGTGGATGGCAGATCAATGAACCAATTAAGATAGATCGATGGGCTGTTGTGACCCACAAAACAGCAACCAACCGGAGTTACGTGCCCGATTTGGTCCGATTTCGGGTGCAATCTGTGACGGCAAGATCTCAACCTCAAAACAACCTTTTAATTGCATAATGAGCTGGCTGTTTTCTAGCATTCTCTGCGACTGGATTGATAAACATATTTTCGCCCCACGAAAGGCATTCAACCCAATCGGGAGTCAAGCGATAGGCCTATACGGGATGCACTTCGAAATGATGCTGATTTTGGGGTATAAAAGCTGCAGCGGAATGAGTGGAAAACACAGTTGCCTGCTGGTCTGTGTCTTAGCAAGCTAAATCCTGCCGAGTCCTTAAAGCTATACAAGTGCAGCATCAAGATCAACATTCAGTAAGATGAACAGGATTCTGCTGCTGGTGGCCTTGGCGGCCAGTCTTGTGGCTGCTGGAAGGATAACTATGAATCCGGAGCGGATTCAGGGTATTGGTAAATAGGTATTCCCCCTTAATTGGGGCACTAAAAATAAGTGGTTTCTATCCCCCCAGATCGCATGTCCCTGGAGGATCTGCAGCGCCAGAAGTTGATCCTGGATATTGTGCAGAACATTCGCCAGCCCTTGCAGCAGAACGAGCTGATCCAGTTGGATCAGGGTCTGATTGTGGACAGCCAGCGCTATCGCGGCGGCATTGATGTGGAGATGCAGCGCGTCATCGACTTGGATCGCCAGCGCCGGCTGCTGGACGAGCACCAGGTGTACTCGTTGGGTCGCTTGGAGGATGTGCAGCAGCTGCGTGGCATCTACCGCCTGCTGGTCCGCTCCCTGGACTGGGACACCCTGCGGCGGAACGTGGTCTATCTGCGCCGCAACATCAATCCGGTGCTGCTGGTCAATGCCCTGGCCCTGGCCATTCGCGATCGCGATGACACCCGCTCCCTGATTGTGCCCGCCGTCCAGGAGCTGCTGCCCGAATTGTATCTGGACGAGGAGGTGATCGAGCAGGTGCGCAGCGTGCAGCGGGAGCAATCGCAGCGACCCTCACTCATGGACATTGTGGGTCTGCGCCAGCGCACCATGAATCCCATGATGAACATTCTGATGCCCTGGCGGGAGATTCACCTGCAGATGGCTCTGCTGCGGCAACAGCAGCAGCAGAAGAACCGCCAGAATGTTGTGGGTCAGAGGCGAGTGGTGATTCAAGCCGAGAACCAGGGACAGATCGAGGGCACCTCTCTGCTCACCGATGACATTGCCCTGCGCAACTTTGTGCAGATTCTCATCCAGGAATTGGCCATGCAGGAGGATGTCACTGAGGAGGAGCGTGAGCAGTTGATCAACAGGGGGCAACAGGAGCAGGAGCACCAATGGATTGGTGATCGGTCGCAATGGATACACAGGGAGCGGGAAATGGGTCAGGATGTGGACACTGGTCGTCTGCTGCGCGTGAACCGTCGTCGTCTGCTGGAGCAGGATCAGGATCAGGGTCAGAACATCTATGGCAACCAAAGGGAGCGTTTCCAGCGTCTGCTCAACCGCAATGATGACAACGATAATGATGATGATGATGATATTCGCATGGGTCGTGTGCAACTGCAGCGTGGAATCAGCCAGGGAGGTCTCCGCATCGGAGGAGGAGTTCGTGACCTGCCCACCGTGAGTGTGGACAGCAACCGCCTGCTCCACGTGAACCGTCGTCGCCTGAATGCCATCAACCAGGAGGACCAGCAGGAGGATCAGCTTTCGGGACGCCAGCGTTTGATGGGCCTGATGAGGAGAAACCGCGTGAGTGAGGGTCGTCGCGTTGGCCAGCTGGATGAGGTGCGTCAGAACGAATGGCAAATGAAGCGTCTGCGCCAGAACCAGAACCAGAACCAGGACCAGGATGACGAGCAGCAGGACCAGATCCAGAGGCAAGGACGTCGCTTGGGTGTCCAAGATCAATTGGAGAGCGTGAGCCGAGATGATGAGCGTTTGGTGCACATCAACCGACGACGCCTCAACCAGGACATCACCCAACAGCAGCAGGAGCAGCAGCAGCAGCAGAGGACTATGCCCCGCAGAATCCACTCCATTGGCGAGGGTCGTCGTGTCCTGGGAGATCGCCTCATCCAGGATGAGGACATCCTCAAGCTCATCCGCAGCGACAACCGTCTGCAAATGATGAACGACGATGAAATCCTGGAGATGCTCAAGAGGAACCGCCAGCAGCGTTTGGAGAAGCAGCAAAACGCCAATGATGATGATGATGACAACGATGACAACGATGATGATGATGATGAGGAGCGCCGTCAGGGAGTGCGAAGCCGTCGTAGTCTGCCCAATCTCCGCCAGCAGAACAGCCGACGCAGCGAGATCCTCCTGCACAATCTCCGCCAGCTGGTGGCCCGCCTCAACCAGGAGAGCATCTCCCAGGGACAGATGATCGAGCAGCAGCAGCAGCAGTGGATCAACAATCCCCGCCTGTCGCAAAACGAGAGATACGCCCTCCGGATGAACCAAATCCGCATCGATTCGCAGCGCAACCGTGAAGTTCTCGGGCAGATTGGCCAGATTGAGCAGCGTCTGCAGGAGGTCATTGGTCAGGTGCTGAACCAGGTGAACGTGAACTCGCTGCGTGGTCAGATGGAGGATCAACGCCAGGTGGAGTCCCTGATCGCCGATGTCCTGCTGGGTCGCCTCGGCCAGGTGGGCATTCTGAACATCATCCGCCAACTGGTGCAGGACAACGCTAGCAACCGTGGCCAGCAAATCGATCGCAATGGCTTGGGCATCCGGCTCAGCGATCCCGTGGTGCAGCACACTCTCCGCCGGATCGTGAGGATCGTGGACCAGCAGCGGGAGCAGATCCTGGGCGACTACCGCCAGGAGCAGCTGCAGATGCGCGGTGTTGCCATCAACGATGTGCGCGTGGACAAGCTGCGCACCCGCATCGAGGAACATGACCTGGACCTCAGCAATCTGGTCGAGGGGCGGCAACAGGAGATTGTGGGTCGCCAGCGACGCCTCAACAACCGGGCCTTCACCATTGACATGGACATCACGGCGGATCAGGACCAGGATGCCATCATTCGCGTGTTCCTGGGACCCGGCGAGGATCAGCAGGGCAGACAGGGCGTGTCCCTGGACGAGCGTCGCCGTGATTTTGTCCTCCTGGAGGCCATCGATGTGCAGCTGCAGTCGGGACGCAATCGCATCCAGCAGCGGTCCATCGACATCCCCTGGACCAGTCGCGATGTGACTCCCCTGGGCGAGATCTATCGCCGGGTGATGCTGCAGCTGAGGGGCCAGCAGGAGCAACCGGTTGTGGGTGGTGTGGGCATCCAGGAGTTGGTCGGCGAGAACGGACGCTTCCCGCAGCACTTGCTGCTGCCGCGTGGACGACCCGAGGGCCTGCCCATGCAGCTCCTGGTGGTGGTCTCTCCGCTGGTGGAGCAACAGGAGCGCCAAATCGTTCCCGACATCAGCATTGGCATCGGATCCGCCTCCCTGCGCGATGCCCGTCCCTTGGGCTATCCTCTGGATCGTCCCATCCGCAACGAGCAGCAGCTGCTGCAGCTCTCCAACATCCACCTCCAGGATGTGGTCATCATCCAGGAGAACTAAGTCCCTCATAAGGGTGTTTCCAACAACCGCAACCGATCGACAGGCCAAGCCATCGCCCATGGACCCATCTGAAAAGACCCAAACGAACCCTAGCTTAAGTCTATCGAACCTTAATCAATTTACAATAGCAAAATGTTGAATATTCTTGTAATCGATTTATCTATATTTGTAATTAAAATCTTTGCAAGCGATGCAAACAAGCATTAAATATATGTGTTTTCTAATATTTTAGGTATAATTAATTAGGCGACAATAATAGCTAATTCAATCTTTAAATATGAACATTTAGGTTTTGGGGCTTAAGATGTTAGAGTTTAATCCAATTGTAGTTATATAATATTTCTATTTCAATTATTTCAATTCTGACAATACTTGTACAGTTCTCTGGTTGAATTCACAAAAAAGCTAATTTAAATATTTTTAAGCTTTACATTTTTCAAAAATCACACTATGTTACTTGTTTCTCAAGTGTATGGCACAAAATTACCTTATGTTGGTAACACAAAAAATAGTTTGATTTTAATCTTAACTCTTAAAAGGGATTTCACTTGGCTTGACAAACGCCTCAGTTCGCTCCATTAAAAAGCACTCCTCTTTGGGTATATATCTTAGGCATAAAAGAACTATCTATCATCTCGGCTATTAGGGGCTTCCCCAAAACTCCAATTTAGTCCTTATTGAAATTGTCACTTTTCTCGAAGAGCCCCCAAAAGTGGTAAAATCATCGTTTTATCGCTCCTCAAACCCCTTGATAAACGTTCACCTGACTGGCTTTTCTAATTTCGAAAAACAATTTCAATGCAAATTGCATGACCATCGGAGGGCGGAGTGGTGTGGCAATGTGGACCAGGGGCTAGTAGGGATTACAGGCAGCTGCCACGCCCCCAAACAATGGCCGCCCACAGAACAAGCGGATGGTAGGATGGCAGGATGGCCAGACAATGCAACGTGCAAATAGCTGGCAGGCAACCTGGCATCCTGGCATCCTGGCACTATAATAGACTTTTCTTATTCTTGCCACACAACTCAATTTGCAACAACGCCAGGGATATATACGTATCCACCTACTGCATATATATATATATATATATTTGCCATGGCGCAGACGCCCAGCGAAGCGTCAATTGCCAAATTAATTGGCCGTAAAAAATGGAAAATGAAAATATAATCACACTTTCCGTTGTCGGGCTCACGTTGTCACTCTGGTTGGCTCAGGTCCAAACGGATCCGGCTTTTAACCCTCTATAGAAGCGTTTTCTCATCAGGCCCAGGACATAGAAGCGGCTCTTAGCTCCTGGGTAATGGAGAGGGGCATTGGTGGACCACCAACCAACGAGCGGCAGACATTTCACCGCAGGCGCTTAAACGTTGCATTTTTCCAGGTTGCCCTGCACTCCCACCTCAATTTGTACCCTGTGGGATATGATTTGAATGAAGGTAACACCGAAACAACTCGTAAACAATATGCCATTACTTATGTTTACAATGTGGCCCTTTATGTAATTTATAGCTACATATTCGTTAAAAGAAAATATATTATACTTTTCTTAAAAAATATATAATTTAAAAGACTTTTTGAACTTCCTTTGGAATTTATAAAAAATGTTACAAAATAGCTAAACAACTTGCCACTAGTTTCATAAATTTATTGACTTGTAAATCTAATTTTAGAATATGTTATTCATGTAAATATTTTTTTCTATCAAGTTAACTTTTTCTCCAAGTAATTTCAGCTTAAGTTTGTGTTTATTGAAGCAATAAATTTGATTTAAAAATTATTTAAAAAATGTATGTTGTTACTTACATATAAGCACAAATCTTTATTGCCTACTAATATGATGAGTTACTTTAATATAACTTGTTTTTATTTATTAAAAATTAAGGTTAAATAGTTTAATCAACTTAACCATTTTCACCGCTCCTATTTCGATTTGCAAACAAATTTAAATAAAAAATGGCATATAAATAGTCGATCATTCTTAAGTTTCTGCTGCCTGCCTGCCTTACTTTTCGAGCAGCAAAGAATGTGGCACGTTGCATAATGGAAAAATGTTCGCACTCGACCTGATACTGTTTCCCCGACTTTTACCGCCTCAATGCACTTTCATTATCTTCGAGTGGTTTGCCGTACATTTCATTTCATTTTGCTGCCACCGCTGTTGTTGATGTGGCTTTTTTGTATTTTGTAATTTGAAATTTAAAATGTTGTTTTCCTTAGTTTGTTGTGTCTGATGAGCTGATTAGCGTTTGGTTTCTGGAGTTGGGGAATTACACGAGCTATTAGGCAGCCGCTTAATGCGAAAGTAATTATGTCTTGTTAATCAGACTGAGGCTGTGTTTGGGGCCAAAGGGTATTTAACCCGTAAGTTTATCGGCCCAACCCGTTTTTGCCCTCGTCCTCGAGTCCGAATTAAAGGTAGCTGAAAACCGAAAACTTTTGTGATTAGCGAGAGCCCCTTGCTGCAATGCAGATAGCGTCTTGAGAAAAGCCGGAGCTAGGGGACACTAAACAAAATATATCACAAAAATGTTTACTTTTAAAAAGAATGCATTTTGTATTTAACAAAAATAACACAAAACTATTTAAGTTTTAAGTTTACATAAATTTGATGACCTAAGCCCTGATTGAAATTATTTTTTTAGGGTTGACGGTAACAAAACCTGATAATAGTTGAAGTCCTTAAACATTTTTATAAATAAAAAAAATTAAACAAAGGTAAGCTTTATTTAAATTTGATTTTCATTTGTGTTGTTACATCGAGTCCTAAATATTATCGGGATATACATTTACATAATTATTATTATTGTAGATACTATTCTAGAAATAATTTTGACAAAAATAGGTAATGGCTTTGTTAGTTGTTATTTAAATTTACTTTTGAAATGGTTTAAATTTTGTGGTTATTTTTGACTATTTTCTCTGAGTGCTCTTGAGGCGGAAACGCTCGTATAATTTATGTTCTGCCTTGGCGCTCTGGCAACGGAAATGCCGTCGCGTAGTTTTGCCGCGCCTACAAACTCCTCCTGATGTTTGCCAAATTTCATAGCATACTATTCAGCGGCAAAACTTTTTGGCACGCAAATTAGCGGCCACGTTTGTTTCGCTTAAGGAAGTGGCAGGAGGCATGTTGCGAAACTTTTTCAGTTATGAATATAAAGTTTATTTATTAAGCAAACAAGTTGGCGGTCTTATCTGAGCCGTGTTCTCTGATGGTCCTTTCTCTGTCGGTTCTTTTTGTGGTTGGCAAACAATTTCGCAGTCAGTTGAGCTCTCCAGTGGAGCAGTGCAAAGAGCTGGCACAATCTGCGAAAATTCGCTTGAATGGTGAGAGGAATTAACTGAAATACTTTTCTTGGTAGTTTTGAAGAATGAAAATGTAAAGGGTTTCTTTTACAAGATTTTTTAAACGAAGGAATGTCAAAATATTTATGTGAAAAAGATTTTTGGAATATGCTTTTTTCTAACGATGTAACAAAATAAACACTTTGAATTCATCTCTAGCTTATATTTAAATTTAAAAAAAATTGTGTTAACATATATTAAGCTGAATAAACAGATAAAATTTGTTGTTTAAATGTTTTTTGAATTTGTATGTGGGTTTTATCTTAGTTGAAATAAATCAAAGATTGCAAATTAGAAATACATCAATGTGGAGGGTCCAATCCTTTGCAGCATTTACAAAATATTTAGAAAACTACCCAACTGGATGTGGGGCAAATCAGTTCGAGGCATTTGGGCTTTGGCCACCTTTTCTGGGTAGACGTGTGGAAAATATTGGACGGAAGGGAGGCGTGAGCTGCCTCCCAAATCAACTTGGGCCAAAAACCCTTCCTTCCCACTCCACAGCGAGGCATTCAAAAGTGTACAATAAACATTTTTACACGCTGCCTCTGGTTGGGAGGCTATCAAGTTGAGCAGAAAACTTTTTCGCCATTCATGCAGATGTACACGACAAAAAATTGCTAACAAACGGAAATGTGATATACGCGCCACAACCGAAACACACACAAAGGCTAATGGAGCAGGGTTTGAAAGGGGGCGTGGTGGGATCAGGGGCGTAGAAGGGGTCTCTTGGCTCAGAAATTCCCATATATAAAAAACTTTGCGTAGAATAATAGTTTTAATTATAAATAACTTAAAAATAACGATTTTTATCATTTCTAATTTCATCTTTCCGTATTCTGAATAAAACTATATTTATTTTAAATAGTTTTATTAAAACAAAATTTTAAATCAATTTTTAGAAAATATTAAGCATATTTACAGCCTGTTAGATCATACGACTCTAGTGATGTGACCCCTTTTTTAACATTCTGCCTACGCCACTGAGTGGGATAGCCATGCCAATTGCTTCTGAAAAATACATTCTGAATATAAACATCCATTCGGTATAGGTGAGATCTATAGCTACGTGGCAATCGGTCTCGTATTCTTCTCGCTCTCTCTAGTCTATTCAATTTGTTTGTGAATTAAAATGAAGGAAGAAAAAAAAACGAGGGACCGGCGTAAAGAAAATACATTCATGCGTTGCATTGTCAAAAGGATTTTTTCTCTTCTCCGGCTTTTGTGTGATTGAAAGACCACCTTAACATGGGAAAGGCCCCCTGCTCAGCCACTATATTCCATCTTAACTGACACGCTTTGGCGCATCGCTTGATAAGCGCAGGAGGGAACGGAGTTCTTACTGGAGGCTTTCCTTCGAGTGGGATTAAAAAAATGTTTACATAGAGACGCGCAGGACATTTTAATACCCAAAAGAATCTAGGGTAGCAAGGGTATCGACGAATGCGTGAACTTTTGATGATGATTACTTTAAAATATGAAGCTGGAACTATGGTTTTTAGACTTTGAAAATAAAAACAAAGCTTATAAAATAGTTTGTCATCTTAAATCATTAGAATATTATATAGTAAACTTCTATTTTATATTCCAATTTTTTTTTTTTTTTGATTTTAATTATACTCTATTTCTTTACCATAAATGCACTATTTAATAATTTTCAGGAACTAATAAACTAATCCAAATTAAGCTTAAGGTATTTATTATTCGCATGTTACAAAAATCCAAATCTTAGCACAACAGGAAGATCCGGATCCTGTGAGATGGCGAGAAGATTACGAGAACCGGAAGGGATATCGACACAGGTGCAAAGGATGATTTGGGGCGAGCTGTTCCCATTTCGACTTGACAGATTTCGTTGGCAAACT